TCTCTCTCTCTCTCTCTCTCTCTCTCTCTCTCTCTCCCACTTCTTTCTCCCCGGGATGGAGGGCATTGTCAGATTGACAACCGCGAAACGGGCAACCAGGCGTTATCGTTTTCTGTCTTCCCGCCTGCTTGCTCAACTTGAAGGGCCACGGTCGTCTGTCCACTTTCGCCTGAGACCGTCGCACCTTCGAGTTGCGAGATGCCTGGAGCAGCTGGCCAGGCCAATGCCGCCTTAGATACGCATGTGCATGCGCACACATAGTTCCACATACCATTTGCAGATACGTGTACATACCCATACATACGTATATTATTATGTACGTATGTATTATGTTTCCATCGGCGCATGTGCGCGCGCATGCACGCACGCACGCACCCCGCTAACGTGCGAAACTCTAAAAGACCAAATACGTGGCGCGCAGCGCCAATGCAGCCTTGTGTATATACATGTATATATTTATAAGTACACACGTGTACATATATAACCATGTGTAACTATATACATCTACAGCCACGCACGGGCACAACACGGATCCCGCGGAACTTGCGCTCGCGCAGGTTGCGCACGCTGCGCGCGCTGCGAAGCTTGAGGGCCGCGACTTGCATGGGCGTCCACGACGTGGAAGCTCAAGCGGGCGCCTAGGAACGCTTGGGTTGACAGGCGGGCACCGCGACGAAACCCATGACACCGACGCAGAACTCATGACGCCAACCAGAATGCATGGCACACTCACGTAAAGGCGCACGCTCATGACGAGCAACAAAACACCCATGACGTTTGAGGCGCCATGATACACTCAGTGGACGAGCTTGGTGGCAGGAGCGAATGCACCAGTGGATCTTGGACGGCGTGCCCTATATTTCATCTGCGACGCTGCAGGTGCAAATCCATGTCCATGCACGTTGCCTTCCTGGGTGGGCGGCCTGGTACAATGCGCGGAGGGAACGATTGCTACTGCGCTGCAGAGTATGTCAGAAGTTGGCGTTACTCTTGCTCGAGGACGCGCAGCAGCAGGCCATGTTATGTCACCCGAGTCAACCATCATGTCTTCGTCCTCCGAGCTGGCCCAAGCATTGCGCGGCGGACGCAGCGACCACCACGCACCTGTCCGCACTGAGCTCGCCACGGCAGGCCTGGGATCTGATCGAGGACGAGTTGCCTGGAGGCGGCCCAAGCAGAAGTCCAGACGAACCAAGATCGCGAAGCGCGCGTTCAAATCCATGAGTATGTCTCGGTCTTCGGCGGAGCGCAAGCAGGCCGCGGGTGAGTTAGTCGCGCTGGGCGTTGTTCCAATGGGGCGCTAAGTTGCCAAGGTCTGCGGCGCTCCACCGCGCGTTCGCGAGCGATGAGAGCTTCTGTGGGCCAGCTGGCACACTCGAGTGTTGGTGGACGCTTAACCACAGCACTTGCCCTACGCTTTGGAGACATGGGCCCCTGGACCACCAGCGCGTTCAACGCTGGATCGACATTCTGTCAGATGCCACCGCGCCAGAGCATTCAGTTTGCGTTGCTTGGGACAAGGCGCTGCTGGGTATTGAAGTACCACCTATGCACTGATGGGGGAAGGCCATTGGACCTCCGACGGCGATGGTTGTCGGCCGACTTGGCATAGACTGGAAACGTTTGGGGCCCGCTGAATGGATCGCTCCAGGCGGAGACCATTTCCGAGGGCGCGTCCAATCTTTTCAAGGGCGATCTATAGACCTACGTGGTCTTCGCACCGCGCCGGCTAAATCCGCGCGCGCGCGCGAAGATGTGGGCGAGAGCTTCGGCGTACTCTAGGCAGGGCAAGGTCTAGATAGAGAAGATCCCTGATTTGAGCGACTCCAGGAGGCATCTCATTCGACTGCGACAACAAGGCAAACGCGAAACGGCTGGAGCCATGGCGACAGTGCTCACAGGAGGCGCATGGACTTTGGGTCGCGCATGCGGGTAGTCCAGCGTGATTGGTCTTTGCAGGCGATCCGGCAATGTGGTTGTAACAGATGGGCATGCTCACCGGGAATGCGAATCTAACGCTAAAGTGTATTCCGAAGCCCTCCGCCAGAAACGGGTTGATCAAGGGCGCGGCCGCCCCTCCCTTTGGCGTCGAGGGATCGCGCCGGGTGACTGGCGCCCAGTTCGCCCATCACCAGACGAACCTGCACGAGTCCAATGCGGAGTTCAGGAAGAGTCCTTCGCTATTCCACGCACTCAGGCATCCTTGCAGGTGGTGATGCTAGTGGTGGTACGTTTTCGGCCGACAGACGACTACGGCGACTTGCGTGGGCCGCGACATTCATTGCTGCCCCATTGGGCGAAGCGAGGCTCTAGCTGCAACTCGGCAAACCGATCGCGCAACGCTTGGAGGGCGGCGGTCTCCCAGGACACGTAGAAACTATCGGCGGGGGTGAGCTGGCGGCTTTCATCGCGGCCCTCACCGCCGCCGCCGATTGCAAGCAGCTGGCGCATGTGACTGACTCTGCGCATGTTATTCGCGGCTTCGCCAAGCACCTTGCCGGCGCAAAACCTGCCTCTTATGAATGCCTTCGGTTGCAAGACAAGAGCCGGCGTGATCGGTTTTCCTCTCGCCAGCTCGAGTGGCCCTCCAGGAGGCAATGTCTCACGCGGCCCCCCCGGGAGTCTCTCGCTGCGCTCCTAGGAGAGCCTCGTCCTTCTCAAGATCGAGTCTCACGTGGCCCCCCAGGAAGAAATGTCGAGGGGCGCCAACATGGTCTTCTTTTTTGGCGAATGGTGCAGCTGACAGAGCAGCCGAGCACCTAGCTGAGCAAGTTGCTGCGTCAGATTCAGATGCCAGGACAATTGGGTAGATGGGTGCAGTGGGAGAAGCTATCACATCCCACCTTACTAAAGTTTCCATCGATGTGGTCGAGGATAAGGAACCCGCATCGAAGAAGCCTATCGGCAATAACGTCGAAGTCATCAAGCTTGATGCCACTGATCACAGCTCTCTGGTGTGGAGAAAAATAGGAGATTGCGTTGCTTGGAATGTGGAAATAGCGCCCCTCGGCCAGCTGCGATTGGTTTCTCTGCGAGCCATGCGTGCCCGGACTCACAAGTGGGAGGTATACGAAGCCTTTCAGATCTACAACGTATGCGATCACACTTGGCAAGGCTCACGCCACACAACATGATTTCTGCTGGGGATCCCAATCTGGATCTATGTTTGGTATGTGGGAGCTATATCACCAAATGCATGTCCAACCTTTCCAAGCCATGCGCACCGAAAGGAGGCCGACCTGTTATGAGAGGGCAGCAGAATTTCAAGCGAGCGCATTTCGGTATCCACCAGACCATGCCACTCGGTGGCAAACCTACGGGGTTAAAGCCTAAGACGACCCTTGCGCCCAGTTCCGCGGACACCGCCACGGCACCAAAGAGTACGACGCGGAATCCTACGAACACCGATCCAGCACCCTTGTCTGCTGCCGAGGTCCAGCACACGTCACCGATGCAGCATCGTCCTCTGCTACACGGTGCACTCCTCTTCCTCTTCCTTTTCGTCTTTTTCCTCATCCGAATCCGCGACCCAGGCATTCGCCCCCTTAGTGACTAATGGCCACCTGGGTCAGGCGAATCGGCCAGCAGTCCCGCCCACTCCACGGGGTGTATGCCCACCCAGAGGGTGTTTCTGAACACCCAGATTGGGCAAGAGCCCACCTGCGTGCAGGCGGCAATGCGCACCTTCCTCAAACACATCGAACAGACAAATATTGAAGGAGGAGGAGGAGGAAGACGAGGAAGAGGAAGAATATAAGAAGGAGGAAAACAATGGGGGAGGAGGAGGTGGAGGAGGAGGAGGACGTGGAGGAGGACGTGGAGGAGAAGGGGGGAGGAGGATGAAGAGGATGAGGAGGAGGAAGAGGAGGAGGAGGAGGAGGAGGAGGAGGAGGAGGAGGAGGGAGGAAGGAGGAGGACGGGAAAAGGAGAGGGGGACGGGAGGAGGAGGAGGAGGGGAGGAGGAGGAGAATGAGAAAGAGGAGGAAGACGAGGGGAGGCGGACGAGGACGAGGAGGAGGAGGAGGAGGAGACAGAGGAAGCGTGGAGCAGGAGGAGGCAGAGGAGAGGAGGAGGAGGAGGAGGAGGAGGAGGAGCAGAGGAGAGAGGAGGAGGAGGAGGAGGAGGAGGAGGAGGAGGAGGAGGAGGAGGAGGAGGAGGAGGAGGAGGAGGAGGAGGAGAGGAGCAGGAGGAAGGAGGAGGAGGAGGAGGAGGAGGAGGAGGAGGAGGAGGAGGAGGAGGAGGAGGAGGAGGAGGAGGAGGAGGAGGAGGAGGAGGAGGAGGAGGAGGAGGAGGAGGAGGAGGAGGAGGAGGAGGAGGAGGAGGAGGAGGAGGAGGAGGAGGAGGAGGAGGAGGAGGAGGAGGAGGAGGAGGAGGGAGGAGGAGGAGGAGGAGGAGGAGGGGAGAGGGGGAGGGGGAGGGGGAGGGGGGAGGGGGGGGGAGGGGGAGGGGGAGGGGGAGGGGGAGGGGGAGGGGGAGGGGGAGGGGGAGGGGGAGGAGGGGCAGGGGGAGGGGAGGAGGCAGGGAGGAGGAACAGCAGCAGCAGCAGCAGCAGCAGGAGCAGCAGCAGGAGCAGCATGATGAGGGGGAGGAGGAGAAGGTGGGAAATGCAGGGACAAATGGGAAGAGCAGCGAGGAACAACAGGCGTGGGGGAGGCCCTCCACCCCAGCTGGCTGCCGGGGGTCACGGATCGAGCGTCGGGCGGCCGTTCGGGACCATCTTGGCCGCTCCGGCAAAACGCCCCCGACGAGGCACAGATGTTGGGAATTTCCCCGGGCCCCGTAAGTGTAAGTTGTTCAAACCATGACCATATCCTCCCCTTCGCAATCGTACCTTGGGATCCTGAGGAGCTGGGGAATTCTACGTGTATGCCCACCCGCGTGGACGAACAGATATCCACATCCACCGTTCCCTGAGTCCTGGGGGCACGACCCCGCTGCAACGGACGTGGACATGTTGTGGCGGCGCAGCCGTCGGGGAGGAGCAGGGCGCCCCCCGTAAGGTGGGTTTGGTCCAGGTTGTCGAGGAGAGCAGGACCCTGCGCGACCTGTCGCGGCTCTGCCAGCCTGGCGAGCGGCGCCTGCGGATCTGGCAGGCGCTGCGGGGGGATCCCAGGATCGCCGGCGCCGGGGCCCGCGCGCAATTCGAGGGAAGGAGGGAGGGAGGGCGGAATTTTCTCTGGGTGGCCGAATCGCCTTCAAAGGCCGCCAGAGGCTTGAGTTGTGACCCGAGTGAACATGGAGGAGGAGTTGGAGGAGGAGGAGGAGGAGGAGGATAATGAGGACCAGTGTAAACCTAAAGGTCATCAACGATGTTGGATGAACCCTCCCTCCAAGCTCCTTCTTCATAGGCCCCTACAGCGGTTCATTTCCACTGGGGGAACTGCTTCGTTGGAAAAAAACAGTTTGAAGACCGTGAAGCGTGCCAAGACATTGTTCTCGGGATTCCAACGCAGGGGATCAACCTGATTGTTGCGTCTTGACGATCCCGAATCGTGCCAGAACGCCATTCCTGGGAGTTCAGTACCGCGCAGCATTGTAACTGTTGCGCCCTCGTAGTCTTGAGCCCTTCCAGAACGCCGTTTCTGGTACGTTGATGATGGGAATCCGTGGAAGTCCTGCAAATGTTTAAAACGAGTGTGCGCAGCGCACCCGCCTTCAATCCGTGAAGCAAATGCTTTAAAGCAATGTGCGCGGCGCTAAGGCGAGAACCACATTGTGAAAATCACCCGCCCTCAATCCGTTAAAGTTTTGCGAATGTGCGCGGCGCTAAGGCGTGAGCCACATTTTGAAAACGACCCGCCTTCAATCCGTGCAACTTTTGCAGATTTTGGTAACGAATGTGCTCGGTGCTAAGGCGAGAGCCAAATTGTGAAAACCACCCGCCTGAATCCGCGAAGCTCATGCAAACGTTTAAAACGAATGCGCTCGGCGTAAAGGCGAGAGCCACATTGTGAAAACCACCCGCCTTCAATCCGTGAAGCTCTTTCACATGTTAAAAACGAATGTGCGCGGCGCTAAGGCGTGAGCCACATTTTGAACACGACCCGCTTTCAATCCGTGCAACTTTTGCAGATTTTGATAACGAATGTGCTTGGCGCTAAGGCGAGAGCCACATTGTGAAAACCATCCGCCTTTTATATGTGTGTTCTTGCAAATGTTTAGGGCGAGTGTGCAAGTCGCTAATGCGAGAGCCACGTTTTGAAAACCATTCGCCCTCCATCTGCGAAGCTGCTGCCCGCTTTTGAGTTGCAGGTCATAAGTGGTGAGGAACTCTCAGGCGAAACGCCCGGCCCGCCCTAAACATTTCCTCGGGGTGCGACAAGGAAAAGTTACATGAACGGAGGAGGAGGAGGAGGAGGAGGAAGAGGAAGAGGAGGACGCGCAGAAAAGGCTCGACCAGGGCTGCCCGCTCTCGCCGGCCTTGGCGCGGCGACGGCGGGCTTGCACGACGAGGTTGAGGCTGCGGCGCGAAGGCTGGACGCGGGCGCGACCCTGGCGGCCGACTTGGACGACGTCTACCTCGACGGCACTCCAGAGGTCCTCGCCGCAGCCGCCGCCGCGGCCCCTGGCCTTTACGCGCGGCGCGGACTCCGCCTGAACGAGACGATGACCAAGCTGTGGAACCCGCGCAGCTTGCGCCTGCCGACAGGGTTCGCGGCCGCAGCAGTGCCCACGCGCGTTCACCTGCGTGGGCAACCGCTTCCATTTCGTCAACGGATGAGCTGCGGCGGACAGCCTGGGCGCCGACCCTGCCGCGGCGAGCTTCGGCGAAACGACGGCGCTGGAGCAGGCGAGGCGGCACGTCTGGGGTTTCCAGGTTGCCCTGCAGGGCCTCCTGGACAAAGGGTTCAGGGCACAGGACAAGCTTGTTTTTCTGCGGACCTTCGCGAACGGCGTCGCCCTGCACCATGCCCGAGCGCACTTCTTCGAGAAGATTTGGTGCCGCAGCTAATTACGAGGACGAGGTCCTCGAGCAATTGCAAGACATATTGGGGCAGCCTTTGACGGCCGCGGCGCGCGAGCAAGCTTGGCCCCCGCTGGCAGACGGAGGGCTGGGGCCGCAGAGCCTCGCGAAGCCCCGCCTTTCTGCTTTCGCCGGCTCCTGGCTCGCGTGCCCGGCCGAAGGTGCGGCGCGAGCTCGGGCCCATCCTCGAGACATTCGCCCGGTTTGCCCGGCGATGTGGGCGACGGCCGGGGCAGCGCGGCACGGGGCCCGGGTGGGCGACGCCGCCTGGTTGTGCGCGGCGACCGAACAGGAGGAGAAGGCGCAGCGGCGACTGGCGCGGCCGGCGCAGGAGCAGCGCCGCGCTCGCCTGCTCGCTTCGGGAGGGTGGCACACGCCATTGGTGCCCGTTTCCCCTGATCAGTCCTGCCGCTGTTCCTCCCACCTCTTGATCTTCATCCCCCCATCCCATCTGTTGCCTTCTCCGTTCTCCCCTTGCTGCTTCGTCTTTGTATCCTACTTCCACCCTCCCACCGTTTTCTTCCATCTGGCATCCCGCGCTACCTCCCCACCCGTGGGTCCCATCCCCCTCTTCGCTCCCCATCGTCCATCCCCATTTTCGTCATCATCGTCGTCGTCGCCCTCCCGCCGCAATGTGTCCATATACCCCCTCGTTCTCCGCATCCTGATCCCGACGGCGGTGCGGAGGTGTATCGGAGGGGTTGCGGGCAAGGAGAAGGATCCCACCGATCTACTTCATCGTCATCGGACATCTTCTTCGCAGCCCGGGTAATTTCGACGATGATGAATGCGGTGACCTCGTGGAAAACCCGTTCCTGGGGAACGGGAGTTTTGGCGGCGAGTGTGCGGGTGTGTGTACGCGCGTTTTACCTATATCCGTCACCGGCTAATCGGTTTGATCTTTGATCCTTGATCGGCACACGCTCGATGGAAAACACTATTCGCGCGTTCCCTTTTGCTTTCGTTGCGTTGGGCCCACCTGCCGTGAAGGAAAAGTGCGTGTGTATGCGCGTGAGTGCGTGCGCGTGTGTGTGTGTGTGTGTGTGTGTTTGTGTGTGCGCGGGTGAGTGTGCCCGGGTTTGTACGCGTATGTGTGTGTGTTTATGTGTGAGAGTTCGCATGTGTGTATGGGCGCTTGAGTCTGCGCGTCTGAGCGTGTGTGTTGGGGGTAAGGCGCGGGACAGGGGCGCGCACGCGCGTGTGTGTGTGTGTGCGTGTGTATGGTATGTGTGCGTGTGTGTGTATGTGTGTGTGTGCGCGGGCGGTGTTTCCGCAAACCTGACTACGCCATGTTGCTGCGCGCGTGGTCGCGACGCCAAAATTATGTGTGCGTGTGTATGCGTGTGTGCGTGTGTGCGCGTGTGCGCGTGTGGGCGTGTGCGTTTGTGCGTGTGTGCGTGTGTGCGTGTGTGCGTGCATGTGTGTGTGTGTGTGCGTGTGTGTGTGTGCGTGTGTGTGTGTGTGTGTGCATGTGTGTGTGTGTGTTTGTGTGTGCGTGCGTGTATTTGTGCGTGTGTGCGTGTGTGCGTGCGTGCGTGCGTGCGTGCGTGCGTGCATGCGTGCGCGTGTTCGTGCGCGTGCGCGTGCGCGTGCGCGTGTGTGCGTGTGCTTGTGCGTGTGCGTGTGCGTTTGCTTGTGCGTGGGCGTGGGCGTGGGCGTGGGCGTGGGCGTGTGCGTGTGCGTGTGCGTGTGCGTGCGCGTGTGCGTGCGCGTGCGCGTGCGCGTACGTGCGTGGGTGTGTGTGTGTGTGTGTGCGTATGCTAGTGTGTGGGTGTGGGTGAGGATGGGGCGTAGGGGACGGGAGACGCATGGGACGATAGAATCAACATCCAGCCCAAATCAGTCGTCTTTGACACTGGAACCGCTTTGGGCCGAACACTTGCTTCTATCGAGGGAACGTGCCTTCGTCGTAGGCGCGATTCCCACGGCGATCAAAGCGAGGAAATCTGATTTTTGATTGCTCCTGTAGGTCATTTGGACCCTTCGGGCCATCCGGGTGAACCCTCCATTTGGGTCATTTGGGTCAACCTGCATTTGGGATCATTTCGGTCAACCCGGTTAGTGACCCCTGGCCGAGGTTTTGGTTATCAGCCGACGACGGATACAATGACAACGACAGAGACAGCGACGGACATGACGACCACGACGATGACGAATTTGACGTTCCCGGGAGGTTTCGGGAGCCCCCCTGAGCTACGAAGGTCCCCCTGGAGGCCTCAGGGGGCCTGGAGAAGGCCCAGGGAACGGAGCTCAGACCTCGTAGTTCTCCAAGTCTTCAAGATCTTCTGAGTTCTAGGCGTCCTCGGTGTTCTAGCTCGGTGGCGACCACGACGATGATCGCGACGACGACCACAGCGTCGATCACCACTGCGGCGGCGGCGCTGCCGCCGCCAGCCCTGCGAGGAGGCTCGATCGCCTCGCGACGACCACCGCCGCCTGCCTCACCGCCACCTACGCCCTGGGCATCCGAGACGGCCCGGCTCCCGCGGGGTGCTTATGTGTTTGTGTGTGAATGTGTGTGTGTGTGTGTGTGCGTGTGTGAATGTGTGTGTGTGTGTGTGCGTGTGCGTGTGCGTGTGCGTGTGTGTGTGTGTGTGTGTGCGTGTGTGTGTGTGTGTGTGTGTTGCGCCGATTGTCTTTCTACGAGTTCCGTGCCCTGCAGCAAAGATGCTGAAACAAGGACGACCTGTGTGCGTCGTACCGCGTCGACATCTCCCGAGGCGTTGTCGATCCTCGATCCATGAATGATACGGTGCATACTTTTTCGGGCCTCGTGGCGGAGCAACTAATTCACCGTACCGCGTCGGAGCGGGGCCTGAAGGGAGACCAAACGTGGTACGCTGCACGAGCTCCGTTCTCGTACTTCTGGCTCGGGAGGGGCTCAGGCCTTCTCGGGCCGCTCCTCAGGTCTGGGCCAGGGGACCCATCCGTGCCGAGGCCTGCCGTGGCCAGAAAGGCCCATCCGTCATACCTGCTGTGGTCCTCGTGGATAGCGCGGTGGCTGCATGCCGGCGTCTCTTTTCCCGGGGTCGTTGGGATCGTCACGGCTCAGCCGGCCTTCATCACGACCTTGGGCGAGGTAAGAAGATTGTTCGCGGAGATTCTGCAAACCACACAGTTTGGGAAGTTGGCAGACCATAGCGACCGACGTACAGGAATGGTTTCCAATAGTTGATGGCTTCGTATTTGGGGCAGTTGACGTGCATTGATAGTTTCGTTGTCGCGGTACTCCTCTGAGGCCTCCCGCTTGTCCCGGGCCTGTTGGCCAAGCGTCTCCTCACCTCTCCTCTCCCCCTCGTCTCCCCTCCCGGTCGGGCGACCCCATCCTCGATCGCTCGGCTGGGCGACCCGCCCTTCCCCGCTCGCCACCCGCGCCGCGCCGCGCGGGCTCCCGACCGCCAGCCGCCTCGGAGCGAGCTGCCTCCGCCGGTGGCCAGCGGGGCCGCCGGCCCCCCGCGGCCTTCGGGGGCGCGAGCCTCGGCGAGAGCCGTGGTCCGCCTGGCCCTCCCGCCGTCTGGCGCCGAGGAGGGAGGTGCTCCACGCTGGAGCCGGCGGGGGGGGGCTGAGGTGGCCCAGCACCGGTTCCCGCCAGCAGAGAGGGGGAGATCCAAGGGCCCCCCCTCGTCGCCACAGCCGGCCCGTCCAGCGCAGCAAGCTCCGCGAAGCAAGCGGGTCCTGAGGCCTCTCGTCCGGCTCTGGCTCTCCCAGGCCCCAGGACCGTCGAGGGACGGTTTTGTAGGAAAAGTCTGAAGGCCCTGGGGTCCAGGGCCCGTTCCCCACAGGATTATGCTCCTTGATGCCAAGAGAGGGGTGAAGACACGGTGAAGACAAGGCGGGGTGGACATCATGCGGGCAGTGTCCAGAAGGTCCCCACTAGGACACTAGGAGGGTCACCAGAGGATCAAAGATCGATGACATTGGCGCGTTTTGTTACTTTGTTGGATTTCCTGGAGGACCTGGCGACCCCCTTGGTGGTGGCCTGGATCATGGCGGGGGCGTGACATCTCCCCGACGTGACGGCCCCCTCTTCTTTCACCACCCTGCCCCCGCTCGTCCGCGCACATGCCCCGGGCCATGGCTCGCTAACCTCCCTCTTCCTGGCTCCATCTTCGGCGCCCCCGGCACAGATCGGACGGGCCAAGCGAGTGACCAACCGAATTTTCTGGAGGTTCGAGAGAAAAAGAGCGGCGTGAACATTAACTTTGGTAGGTCTGCGCTGATTTCTTGCATCGGCGCTGGACCTCCCCTTGGCACGCAGTGCGCGCCATGGCCGGCGCCAGAGGCGCCGCCAGGGTTGGGTCGAGCGACGACCCAAGAAGGCCGTGAGGACCTCGAAACGGTCAGGTTTATGCAGTGTGCCGCTCTTCTGGAGGCAAAGTGTCTACGCAGAAAGCCAGGTCGTCTTCACGGACATTCGCGCGGAAGCTGCCCGCGAAAGGCCGCGCGTACCCGACCTCCCCACGCGGTGTGCCTCACTGGTGGCCCGGACAGGCCGCGTCGTGAGGTCGCTATGGCATCTCGCCCAAGACGCGCTTCTGTTCGTAGCTCACAGTGGCAATCGGCGCGAGATGCCTGGGGGCCATCCTGGTCGTCCTCTGGCCTCCAGGGGGTCCGCCCGGCTGCTCGCTTTGCCCCTGCACCTCGGCGGGGCAGGCGGACCGCGGCGCGAGGGCATGACGTGACGCCTGCTCGCCGCCCGTCGGGGGTGATGGGCAACTACTGTGCGGCATCCAAGCGCAGGCCGTCGATGGGCACTGACGACGGCACCAGGAGCCGGGGGGGGGGGCCGACGAGCCCCTTCGGCGTCCTCATGTCGTTTCCTCTTCCTCTGCATCCTCGAGTCCTTGTGTTTTTTGTCCCATCGAGGAGCAGCTTGGATCATCCTGCCCCCCCCAAAAAAAAACGACAAATGCACGGGGAATGGACGTCCGAGCGATGGCAGGCGTCCCTCTCTGCCGCCCCCTGCACCAGGAGCTGGGACACGACGAACCCCTTCAGCTTGAATTCCCTGTTCTTCTCCAACGAAAGTAACCACTTCCACTTCAGGGGGGAGTGCAAAGGTGAGAAGGTGGACCGCAGCTCCTCCTATACCCAGAGCGACTGCTCCATCGACGATCTTGATGAGAGACATGGGAATCTGGTGTCCGGCATGCGGTCATTTGGAAGCCAGTACTTGCGGCAGTTGCGCTCGGCGGCCTCGGGCACGGTCGGCGACCACGGCAAAATGGCGGTGGACATGGTGATGTTCGGAGAGTTCGGGAGGGATCTCGACAAGGTGGGTGACCCAAACAGACGAGGTGTAGGGCAGGGCGCGAGCTGAACTGTGTGTTCGGCGATTTCGTGGGCCGTTTTCGTTTTGATACCGTTTCGCAGCAAATGAAGAACGAAGACAAAACGAAAGAAAACGAAAACAAAACGAACACGAAACACACAGCTTAGCTCGAGCCCTGGTATATTTATATCGGATAACATGGATGAGCAGTTGGAGGATGAGGACTGGGAGGCGGGACATGGGGGTAGTAGGGGGCTATGAGGAGGATCGGGAGGATTCGGAGGATGAGGGTGTAGGGCAGGAGGAGGGCGAGGATGGGTACGCAAGTGATCATGGAGGAGCAGTCTTCGATGCCAGACCACACAAGGCTTTAAACATCCAGGCCCAAAGTTCAGAGGCGTATTTTTCCCGGAGGACCGCAAATGCGAGCGCAATGGCGCGCGCGGTCGCGCGCGACCCGCCGCTTGTAATAATGTGAATGCGCGGGCGTCGCTGCGACGACGACGGCGACGGCGACGACGACGGCGGCGTCTGCGCCGACGGTTACGACGACGGCGGCAACGGCGACGGCGGCGACGGGGCCCGGGCCCGCGGGCGAACTTGCGCCCGCCCTCGTTCCTGGAGTCCCTCGCCAGGTTTATGGGAGGAGCGAAATGCTTGACGCTTCGCGTAACCCCGCCAGCATTTAGAGCTTGGCGCGGCTGCCTCGTTTCTGTTCGGCGCGCGGTTGCACCGTTAGCGCTCGCGATTAAAAAGTAACCCCACCAGCCCATCCAGAACTGATGCCCAGAGGAATGGCCTCGATCAAGGAAGTGGGCAGCTCACATAGGAAGGGTCCCCCAGTAGAGGCCTCTTGTAACGACTTGGGGGCCTCTTGGCGGTCCCGGACGCCTCTTAGAGCGTCTTGGGTGCCTCGGAGAGCTTATTGGGGCCTCTTGGAGGTTTCTTGGGAGCCTCTTGGAGGCCTCTTGGGCACCTGTTGGGGCGTCCGCTGGCTTCCTGGGCGCCCCTTGGGGCCATCTTAAACAGCTGTTGGGAGCCTTGGGGGCGCTCTTGGGGCCCTTTTGGGCCATCTTGGAGCCAGCTTGAAGCCTCGGACGGCCATCGGAAGCGAAAAGGCGAGAAAGCCAAAAGCATTGATCCCCCGAAGGTTTTGGAAGGATTTTTGCCTTTTCGGGGCCTCCTAGGGGAGCTCTGTGGCCACTTGGAGCCGTGTTGGACCCGCCTTGGGGCCTCTTGGAGCCATCTTGAGGCATCCCGGGATATCTTGAGCCATCTTGGAGGTCATCTTGGGTTTTCCCACGCAAGCAGTGCCCCCCCCCCAGGAGGCCAGAATGTGACAAAAACCTTAGTAAACAAATCAATGATTTTGGCATTCTCGCCGAGGTCTCTTGGAGCGTCTTGGGTGCCTCTGGGGAGCCTTTGGGGGGCCTCTTGGGAGCCTTTTGGGGGCATGCCAGGGGCCTCTTGGGGGCCTCTTGGGGCTTCCTGGCCACCTCTTGGGGCACCCTTGGGAGCCTTGGGAGCGCTCGTGGGGCCATCTCGGACAAAATCGATCAAAGAAGGGGAGTCCTGAATTTGCGCCTCCGGCGACTCGCGGAACGCCCCGTCCAGGTCCAGAGGAGAGGGTGGGGGGAGGGGTAAGCCCTTCCCCGAAGGGGAAGAAGGCGGTGGAAGAGGAAACGCCCTAAACCACCCACGCCCGAAAGGGCTGGTGGGATTTTTGTGCGCAGTTTTACCCCAGCCCCCTTCGCTGTACTAAAACTGTGGTTTGCTTAAGTAAAACGCCGTGCTTTCTGAATGTATTGAGCGGCGCGCCTTAACTGAAGCTGATTCCTCGCTTTAGTAGAGCCACGTCCTCGCTTTAGTAAAGTCGGCCCCGTCGTCCCTGCCAGTTCGCCCCGCGATGCATTTGTTCGAGTCATTGGGGTCGCGTTGCATTGGGTCGCGGCGATCGTAGGACATGTTTTCAGCGAATTGTAGATGCTCCTTGACAGGAGACTCAGGGCGCGAACGCGGAACGTGGCTCGGCAATTCTGACGCGCCGCCGCGGTTGTCGCGCAGCAGAGCAGCAGCATTTTACTACACGGCTCGCTTCCTCTAGCAGATAGCTTTTGCAAACTAGTAATCTTAGTGCGCTTCCGAAAAGTCTCGCAGATATTGGCACAACATGGAATGCAACGTGCGCCCGTTGAGGTGACCCGCCTCCTCTCTCCCCTTCCGCCTCTTCGTCGTCCTCCCGGTGCCCCCTCCTGCCCCTTCCTGCCCCTTCCTCGCCGCCACCGCTCCTGCTCCTCCACCTTTTGCTTCCCACGCTCACCACGTTCCCCTCCTCCTCCTCCTCCTCCTCCTCCGCCTCCGCCTCCGCCTCCTCCTCCTCCTCCGCCTCCTCCTCCTCCTCCTCCTCCTACTCCTCCTCCTCCTCCTCCTCCCCCTCCTCCTCCTCCTACTCCCACTCCTACTCCTCACCCTCCTTGGGAATATCATGCTACTGGCTGCTCGTAGGCTGCTCCTGTGTTGTCTCGAAATTGGCGCGCGCGGTACCCACGAGCATTCCGAGGAACCGCACAGGGAACCACGCGTTCCCAGCAGTTGGCGCACCCAGCCGGCCTGAACTATGAGTGCGGTTCCGCCATGCCAGCTCGTTTCATTCGACCATTGCGTCTTCGGCCAGATCAGCGTTGCTCCGACTTCCGTCCTCTGCGTTCGGTTCCCTACGGTTGCGACGATGGTGGCCGAGAATAGCCAGAATGGACGATGTAAGCATCCCCGTAAGGTCCATAATTCTTTAAAAGACCTGGGCGTGCAGGGTGTCTGGCGCACCAATCCAAAATTAGCCCGGCGAAGAAACCAACCGGATGTAGTTGTGGGTACCGCATTTGGGAACATCGTCTTCCGTGGAACTCTTTATGGGGCGCGGCGCGAACCGTGTGAGGGGCGTGCCACAGTGGAATAGCGGCGGCACGCGGGCGTTGCCACTGGAGCCTTCGGTGGAACTTCCTACAGGGCCTTCGGCGTGGCCTCCTGTGTCCGTCATGTGTTTCATGGGGGTAGCGAAAAAACTGGACCGTTCAAGGTTGTCCCTCCGTTTTGTTTCCCCTTTTGACGCAGCGCACTCCAAAACCCAAGGCTGCGGGTGCAGCGCCGCGCGGAATCCCCGCGACGCGCGCTGGTCGTCCTGAAGGGGTCCCAGCGATTTCGGGCAAGGCTTTGGCTGTTGAGCAGAGCGACGACGGGCGAGCGAGGTGCTGGGCAGAGCGCAGCATCGAGTTCCCGCGGCGCGCGCTGGTCGCGCCGAGAGGGTCCAATCGACGCGCGCGGGTCGTCCGCGGCGCGGGGTCAAACGCTCAAACCGTCGAGAGAAGGCGACACTCGGGCGGGCCGCTTCCCTGATCATGCCTCGCGGATACATTCGGTGAAGCCCAGCTCCTTGGCGAGGGCCGTCGCCTCCCTCCGGCACCGCGTCGCGCGCGCCGCGAATTGCTCAAGCTGTTTCCTGAAGCCCTCCGGTGGCCCTGTTACGATGAGTTCGAACCGCGGCGCCCACATGAGCAGGAGGTCGTCGTGGCGCGTGTCGCGCGAGAGCCGCGCGTAGGGTTCCTTGCCGTCCCCGACCTCGCGGCGTCCGCAATCCAGGATCACGCTTCGGCGACGTCGGCCGAGGGAGCGGCGCGCCGGGCAGCCGACGTTCCAGGGACCTTCGGCGGAGGTCCTCATGGGGCCATGAAGCGCCGCACTGGGCGCAGGAGCCGCATGCGAGTTCCGCCACTGGGACCTTCGGTGGAACTCCCTATGGGGCCACGCAACACCGCATTGGGCGCAGAACCGCATGCGAGTTCCGCCAACGGGACCTTCGGTGGACTTCCCTATGGGGCCACGAAACACCGCATTGGGCGCAGGTTCAGGAGCCGCATGCGAGTTCCGCCGCTGGGACCTTCGGTGGGGCTCACTATGGGGCCAGGAAGCGCCGCAGTTCCGTTACTGGGACCTTCGGCGGAGCTTCCCGTGGAGCCACGAAACACCGCACTGGGCGCAGGAACCGCACGCGCCTCTCGGGGTTCGATTCGGACTCCGCGCGAAGCGATGCGTTCTCTCGCGGGCCACCTGCTGCTCGGTCCTACCCGACCAAGCCGCACTAGCGAACGTGCGGTGAGGAATCGCAGATTTCTTCTGCCTGGAGCACCCGGCTGGTGAAGGTAGAATTTGAGAATGATCCATGTCTGCCCCGGGGCCCCTGTTGTTTCCGTCGGCGGCGAGCCCAGAGGGGATCCGACAAAGGCAGGCCTTTTCAGAGAGTTACGGGGCTGCTTAGAAACCCTTGCTCTGAGAAGTTTTGCAAGTTTTCTTCGGAACCACAAACGGACGCCCAGTAAGCGCGAGGGTTTCTAAGAAACCTCGCCGCCCTCTGAGAATGCCTACCCATTCTCACTTCACCCCTGGGCTCGCCGCTCAATCTCTGACCCGATGCTTTTTCTGATATTGAGATATTCAGGCTCACATTCCAGCATGACTAACATCGGGTAAGACGACACAATTATATATGTATACACATATATACATGTATATACATGTATGTATGTGTGTATACATGTATGTATGTGTGTATACATATATATATATATATATATATATATATATATATATATGAACGTGATCGTTCCAAGGCCCGCGCCGATCTCTTGGATTTGCGTCAGACCCCTTGCAGCGCCTGATGCGCCGCCACTGGCGCGCTCCTCGCGCCAGGAAGTCGATCCAACGCCGATCCGAAAAATCTGTGCGGACCTTCGGACATGTGTGCTCACTGCAGTTTGGTGGTCCGCTCGATAAATCACCCCATAGCTTTCTGGAACGATCTCAGAGCGTCCCAGAACTCTGTGAAACGGCCGCGGTGCCCGATGCATCCTCCAGGCCCGCCAGTTTTTTCAGGGATCTCCGGATTGTATTCATCCGAAGTTATATGTACATCTTGCCCTCGTCTGAAGATTGCGTCGTGCGCGGCCGTGGCAGTACACCGCCCTGTCCGCTTGTTCGAGCTGTGCCCAGCCGTGGCCACGAGGGCCTCACGAAGCCTGACCACGCTTGTAGATCGGCGGATATGGACAACCCCCCCGACGCGGTCAAAGGGGAGACGGCGGTGAGCATGACAGTGACGATGCAGCGCTTGGCCCTCGTCGGCCCCACCCCCGCCGCCCGCCCCCCGAAACAGCGAACCTGCCCCCACTTCGAATCTCCATGAATCCAGGCCTCAAAGCTGGGGCTGAGATAGGTCGGGTACCGCCGCATCGGCACATCGGCGACGTGGCGTATGTTCCTCTATCCCGCCATCGCCGATGCATCGCTTGTGCGTGGGCGATGCGGCGCGATCTTCCGACCGTCATCTGCTCAGGCCTCCGGCCCCCATTTGGGAGGTGTCCCATGGAAGGAGAAGGCGGTGTGCGTGGCCGTTGCGATGCAGCGCCTGGGCCTCGTCGGCCACATCTCGCTGGTGGCCAGCGGCAACGGGGCACCCATGCGCGCCCGGCTGGCCCTGGGCACAGCCAGGACGTTGGAGGGAAAACACAGACACAGACACAAGGAATCGCTGCGCTTTTCATTAAAGTTGAAGACATTGGACAGGGAGAAGGAAACTCAAGGACATATTCAACGTATCGGGAATCCTGGGATTCGTGTCGTTTTCGCTGTTCCTCCCTGGGCCCCTCGACAGGAAGCTGGAGGCCGAGTGCACTGCAGCGATCGGCCACGAGGGCTCCCCGCAGGATGCGCCACCGTCGATCGCCGCAGGGCCGCCCCCGTCGCCGCCCGCTGCCCGCGGCCGTCGTCGATCGAGTGGACCGAGGGTCGAGCCGAGATCGCCGACGATCTCACCTGTTCAGACCCGATGTGTTTTGTCCATTTCGGCCTCGGGGCCATCGAGAACGCATCCGGGTCGCAAAGCTGCCCCGAGGGAAGCGGTCGCGACCTTTGGGGCCACGGATTGAAAGCTCACATCGGCGGGCGTCAGGGAGGCTGGAGGTTTTCTCAGGTTTCCACCCTCCTCGGGCCTCCTGGGGCGCCCTCGTCGCCGCGGCCGGACTCCCGCCGAGGTCCTGGTCAGAGCGCGACTCCTTGGGCAGGTCCAGGGGTCGTCGTCGCCGCCGCCGACGACCTCTTCGTCTCGGAGGCTTTCGGGCGTCTCCGAGGGTTCTCGCCGACGCGGCCAGGCGCGGCTCCAGAGGCTGGCCAGGCACGGACCGCGGACCCCACCGATTTCGAGCGGATTGGGAGCCGCCACCCCCGCCATCTCCCGCGGCAGTGTGCTGCCGATATTGCCGAGGCCCTTCTCTCGCGGCGCCGCCCCCCCCAGCACTGGCAGAGGGCCCCGCTGCAGAGTGGCGGGAGAAAGGCGACGACGTCGAGGAGGAGGACGAGCAGGAGGAGGGTGATGGAGGAGGATGACGTGGCACCGGAGGGGGAGGGAACTGGGGTCCTGGAAGGCAAACTTCCTCCTCCATCCCTTCGTGTCCTTCTCTCGCTTAATCTCCCTCTTCCTTCCCTCCTCCGCGAGACGTGCGTCCACCAACGTATCTCATTTTTTGAGGCCACGGCCTCAACGCCATGCTCTAATGAGCACGGGCGAGCTCCCCAGAGGAGGAGCGCGAACAACTCCGGCGTTCGTTGCGCTTCGCTGCGCTTCCTTCCTCCACAGATCATGCGCGACCGAAATATTTCGGGCGCGAGCGGGAACGACCGAAACTTTCTGCTACCGAAAAAATCGGTCGCAATCCGTCGCGCCTGGTAACGGTCGGAGAGCCCATGTCGCAAATTTCGGTAACGTTTTTTTCGTACAAGGCGCGCGATCCTGACAAACGAGCTCTCCGCGACCGACCGTTACCGACCGTGCGTTACCGACCGTTACTGACCATTACAGACTTGTTTTTGCCGTCATCACCTCCATTTGGAGCATCAACATGCTTATCTTCGCCACCATCCTTATCACCAGCATCATCCTTATCCTCAGCATAATTGTACTTAATGGTATCATATATCTCTGTCTCACTCTCTCTGTGCCCCCCTCGGTTGCCCCTTCTGCATCTCGGGAAGACGGACAATGCAAACAAGGGTCATCCACAGCGCCTTACCATATCATGCAGGATCCTGCGCATCGTTTCGTCATCATTATCACCGTCATTACCACCATCATAATCATCATCACCACGGTCATCATCATCACCATCAGCATTCGCATCACCACATCAGCACTATCATCATAGTCACCATTGACATCATCATCATCATCATCATCATCATCATCATCATCATCGTCATCGTCATCGTCATCAGCATTGCCATGGGTGAGTCCTGCTGTGGGTCCGAGGAGCGGCGGTGCCTCGATCGCCGGCGACTCCAATGCCTGGCGCCTTGTCCCGATGAGCTTGTTCTGCGATGTGAAGGTCATCGGGATCCATGCAAGCAAGATGCAGATCCTGGCGAAGCATGCGCGCCCTGAGGACTTTGTTGCGATCGGGCGCAGTCAGTATCGCGCGGGAGTCAAGGAGGCGGTGAATGTGCATGTCTTCATGCCCACGTCTGCAATCCGGGATGCAATTTCCGCGGGCGACCTCGAGTCGACTGACGTCTCGGCCACCGACTTCCCCGCTGCCAACTTGGTGCAGTCCTTCGCACCTCGGGCCTACGGGTCGGCCCAGTGGGTCACTCCGGGCGGACACGAGCCGAAGGTGCGGTCCTCAGCCAGGGCGTGTGCCTACGAGTCGGGCTACGTGATGCGCGGGTCGTACCGCAAGGTGTCGGTGGCAAGCGGCCAAGGAACGGCTCCGCTCGTGTTCAACACGGTGGTTTACACGCGCCGCGACGTCGCCACGGACACGGAGCGGTACGTGCTCGTCCTCGACGACATTACCTCGGTGTTGTCCGACGAGTACATCGCCGACGCCGCCATCGCCTCCTGCATCAGGGCATGCGGTGCTCCAGGGGCCTCATCGACACCACAGACCTGCAGCGCGGAGGAAGCTCGAGAAGGACGCACTCGACACAGTCTTCGGCCTCGAGCTCGGTAGCATGGCGTGTGGCGTGCTCGACCCGACATTCAACGACGAGACGGACTTCGTAGAGGTTGACGCCACGATGCTCAAGGAGGCCGCAGACCATTTCGGCGAATGCACAGTGAAGGGCCTCATGCAGAACATCACGGATCGGATCCTCGGTGGCGCCATGTTGCTGGCGGGCACGGGCTTGCACACGGCATCGACGCAGCACACGTGCGGCACCATCGGGCTCAGCAAGGCTATCAAGACCTTCCACAACATCTCGGGCAGCGCTGGCTTGGCACGCGTGTCGGAGAATGCCGCGGGCACCTTCGGCAACAACACGATCGAGTACAAGTTGGCACACGACTTGCCGCATCCGCACGGCAGGCGCACCCCCATCTGGATGCATGGACCGCCGCATCCGAGCGCCAGGACGACGATCCCGGTGTTCTCGCCGGGCGTCGTCTTGTTCAAACATGATGGAGTTGTGGCATCGCGCACTCCGGTGGACTTCGCGGGCACACACCGCGATGTCGTATCGTTGCGGGCGTGTGAGCAGTTGATGTCTTTGGGGGCGCTCAAGACCATGCGGAACCAGGGCTCCTTCGGCATGCTTGCCCAGCAGGTGGCAAATGAGAGGACGGCGTATGCGGCAGGAGCAGTGCACTCCCGCTATCTCCTTGCCGACACGGGCTACACCGTCGCCGCAATTCGCATATTGATTATACTGCCTCCCGCCTCCTTGTCTTTCTCATGATCTGACTACTTCGCTCGCCGCCCTCTGCTCCCCCGCATCCTCCTCATCCGCCGTCTATCCCTCCTCGCGATCACATCGCCAGGATGGCAAGGAGACGGGAGGTAGTCGCAGGAGGAAGAAAAGGCGGTGATGACGACGACGGCGACGACGCTGACCGCCCGCGCCTTTTTTGCTGGCGTCACTGCCATGCCCGCGCCTTTGTTTCTGCTGGCGCCACCGCCACGCTGTCGCTGAGGCGCGCGGTCTCTGGCGCTAGCGTTGCTGGGCAGTCGTTGGGCGGGGGGGGAGGGGGGGAAGTGTCTTCTGAAAAACTTGAGTCCTTGAGAGAAGAGACGAGACATAGAGGAGGGGCCGACTGCGGGCACGCGCGCTTAGTGCCGGCAGCAGCGGCTGAACTCCAGGCCCGCCGCCCCGCCGTAAACGGGCGCGCGGGGAAGGGGCCCGGGGGGGGGGGGGCAGGAGGAGGGCCATGATGAAAAGGAGGGGGAAGAGGGGGGGGGGGGGGGGGGGGGGGAGGGGCCAGGGTGAAAAGAGGAGGGGTAGGAAGGGAGGAGGCGGAGGAGGAGGAGGCCCCCCTCCTTCCCTCCCCCCCTGTCCTCCTCGGTCCTCCCCCTCCTCCTTCTTCCTCCTCTTCGTCCGTCGCCCTTCCTCCATGGTCCTCCGCCCTCCTCTTCCTGGCCTGCCTCCCCCCCTCCCCCCCCCCGCTCCTCCCCCATTTCCATCCTTCCCTCGCCCCCGCTTCCTGTCGCCACTGCCCTAGGTGGATTGATTGACGAAGTCAACGCGATGCCGCCCGCGCCGAGTCCTAGCAGCTACTTTCCCGCTGACCTGGTTGATGGAGGTTCCCGCCGCGCACCCACTTCCCACGCGCGCGATGAAGCGCCGGCAACCCAGCGTCAATGTGCGGCCACGCGCGGAATATCATAACATATGCGAGATGGGCGCAGGCCGCGCCACCATGAATCCACCGTGGACACACGCGCGGCGCACTCGCGCTCGACATTCGACATGCACCTCGACGCAGCATTCCGAATTTCAGGAACAGAAGGAGGGCGTCGACGCGAGGCGAGCCCTGCGAGGGGCCGCCGTCTTGCGCACGGGCACCAGAGACGCGGGAACTCCTCCGAGAGTCCGTCGGCAAACAAACGCGTCATTTGTTGGACTTGCAGCGTGGGGCTTTCAAAAAAAGATGCACGAATCACCTTCGCTTGTGAGCTGATGACCGCGATCAGTTCAACAGGTCACTGCGTCTCTCCAGCCACCGCATTCCACGGGGTACTTAAGGGGCCCCGTGGCCCTGAAGCGGCACGGCCCCAACGAGATGGTCAACAACCGCTCGCGCTGCAAATCGAGCTCTGTTTTCGGAAAGTCTGTCACGTGGCGCGTCGCGATTGAAGGGGATGTTGTAGCGCGGCCGTTTGAAGAGAATGCTGTCGGAAGTCTACGTTATCTCGCCGCGCGTCGCCGCGCGTTGGCGGCCGCCCGCTGCCGCCCGCGCGCGCGGCACCATGCGCAGGGGCGCGCCGCCGGAGCCTGCGGGCCCACCGCCGCCCCGCCGCCAGCTGTCCGCGCCCTCGTTCTATTTGTCATCGGAAGTAGCGTCGTCAGAAGTCGCGGCCCTCGCATCGACTTCAGGCCGAGCCTTGCCAAGGGCTCGGTCGCCGACGCCCCCTCCAGACAGCTGGGTCAGAGTCGGCCCGTCAGGGCTGCCGGCGATGATTCGCCCTCCCGGCGCGCCTTCGACGGCGCCGCCGCCGCGCAGAATCCGGGGTCGCGAAGTGGATCGCCCAGCGCGGCACTCCAACGAGACGCGACGCGCGGCGCCAACGGCGCTTGTTTCACATGGCCGCTCTCAGGCTCAAGGGCCCCCCCGTTCCCGGCCACGCGGCAGCCGCGTTTCACTCGCGGCTGCTGCCGCCTGGCAAGGCGCCAGCGATGGCGCTGGCCCCGCCAAGTGCGCCACCTCCTTTCAAGGAGCCGACCGCGGCGCCCTCGGGGGACGCCCCGTCCGTTCACCAAGCCCGACGAGGAGATTATGAATTCCGCGCGCCAGTCGGCATCGCGCTGGCCTGGTGCCAGAACATATTCGCCAGGTCCGCCCAGGCTGTGCTTTCGAGGCGCGGAGGATCCACGGCTGGACAAACGACCCGAAGCCCGCGTCTGCTAACGCCTCGTTGGGCATCGCACTCGCGATGTTCACGACGAAGCTCGACCGCCTCGGGGGCTCGCGGAGCCCCCGGCAGCGGGGCGAAGGCAGGCGTTGCTGGTCGACGATGATCGCGGGGTCCTGGCCCAGATTCGGACGGGACTTCTCGCCGAGCTCGTCGGTGCATCGTTCGGCGCGCCGTCGTCTGGAAGCCGCCCGCCCGGCCATGGGCGGCCGGCGGGGCTGCCGCCGCGCGCAGCGCGCCCCCCCTCGGGCGAGCGCGCGCCGCGCGCTCCGCCTCGTCGCCCCCGCTCGCCAGAGAGTCCCCCCGTCGCCGCCCAGCGAGGCCGCCGTCTACAACGCGAGTCTTGCGCGGCCCGCGGTTCGAGCTGGAGACCGACGTCGCGCCCGTCGACTCCGCGCCCGTTCTGGGCCAGGCCGGGGGCCGCGGCGCAAATCGGCGCCCGAGGGCGCGCTGCGGCGATGGCAAGGGCGAAGGCATGGACAAGAACGACCCCCCGCTGGACGACGCCGCTGACCTCCTCAAGAAAAGGATAAGAAGACCCGCATGGCTGCGGCTGGGGAGAAGGTCGAGCGTCGGCGCGCCGGCGCGGCCGTCGCGCGGCTAGCGCCGACGAGCCTCAGCAGCACCTTTCGCCCAGGGGCGGTGCCGAGCCCAGCGCGCCCAGCGAGGAGGTCGCGTTCGGCGGTCGTGACCGGGGCGTATCCGACGGATCGCGAGGCAGGCGATCACACCAAGAGTGCGCGCACCTTGCAAGATCTATCTCCATCCATCACCTCTTCTACCACATACCAGGTCAAGGCTCTACATCCCCACCTCATCACTCACGCGACTCCGGGGCCATCATCTTGCTTGCGTCTCAGGACAGGCTTTCAAACGTCACGTCTGCGGTCCGAAGTCACCCGCATCACACAATGCGGTATTAGGTAGCTCGCGCCATCATCAGTCACTCGCATGAGCTCCTCCTGTGTCGCTCTTAAGAGCACGAGCGAGCTCACCAGTACAGTGGGTGAGCTTACGCCCTCACGCGCGCGCCCGTCAGGTCAGACAGCGACGGTGTCTCCTTGCCGAGTGTAAAAAGTGTTTGTGGTTCGACAGTTATGGGATTCATTTGTTCCTTTGGTGTCTCTTCTCCGCCAGGGCTGTTCGATCGCCCGCGCAAGCCCGACTCAAACAGGAGAGGTCGTCGCTGTTTGGCTTGGGCACCGACGCATGTCGTCTGCGTGCGTGATGAACCAAAGCTCTGCAATATACATATGATTGCCGTCATGCTCCTCTCGTGCAGCTTCCACCCTCGCAGTTCTAGTTTCTCCTCCTCCTCCTCCTCCGCTTTCTCTGACGATGGCCAGGCCTCAAGCACCGAGGCTCGCAGCATTCTAAGCTCCTCTTCCTGCTCCTCTTCCTCCTCCTCCTCCTCCTCCTCTTCCGCCTCCTTTTCTTCCCGAGCTTCCCGATCCTGCCGTTTCCACCCGTCCATCCGAGCCTGCTGTTCCGTTCCCTCTTTCCCTCCTCCTCCTTTCGGCTTTCCTTGGGATCCAGACTAGGGCATATTTTTGAACGAGCCCAGCTGACGAGGCATCCCATAAATATGTCTGTTTGTCTCCTCCCAGTCCTGCTGCCTTCCACCCTCGTCCTCGCAGACTCCACGGCGCTCCGCGGCCAAGTCGCCGCCTTCCGGGCCCGCCGCCCCGCTGGAGAGGATGAGGTCTTCCCGTTCGAGTTCGACCATTGCGATTACCTGTCGGAGGAGGCGGAGGTGGACCCCGCGGGGGGGCACGAGCTCGTGTTCACCGCCATCGGCCGAGCAGCCCGGGAGGGCCGGCGGGTCTTCTAGGGGCACCGGCCGTGCACCCGCACGTCGATCGTGGCCGGGTTCGTGTTGGGCCGAGGGTCGGTGCACGTGGTTTCGTGCCCGAGCCGGGTGGGCGTGCAGTCAGTTCGGCGAAACAAGGTCAAACCTGAGGTCGGAAGGGGCTGTTGTGTTTTTGGTGGCGAGCCCCGCCGGTGCTCTTTCGTGTTTTACGGCCGTTCCTTCGGATTTCACGGTTCGACGTGGCAGAGGGAGGTTTCCATATCTTATTTTAGTTGTCGTGCCTTGTTTGTGCAGCCCGGCAGCATGTGCACCGGTTCGGGGCCCAATGGGCTCAGCAGGGACCCGGCCAGGGTCGGTGCAGGTTAATGGCTGGTGCCTTCCCAGGTCTGCATCGTCGTGAGCAGCTCGCTCACCGACATGGCCGCGGTGTTGCGGGACGCCAGGCACCCGCCCCCCCTCCCTGGGCAATAGCGGGGCGCGGGGGCGCCTTGCCATCGCGGGCGGGGCATGCTCGTGGCGCGCCAGCGACGTGATGTGTGTGAGTCGCAGTTTTTTGTTGTTTGTTGTTGTCTTCGTTCTCCAGGTGCCGTTTTAGGCCCCCCGGGCCTTCAAGGTGATTGCGGTCCGAGACATTGCCCCCGGGAATCGGGATTGCGCTATCGGGATGTAGGCGTTTTCTGTCGGTGTTGGCTGGTGGGCGGGGTCCAACGCCCTCATCCCCCCCAAAGAAACCAAGGGGGGAGGGGTGGATCCAGGAACCCCGTTTTTGAGAAATTGGGAAATTATCGAAGACGCCTGCGGCGAATCACGGCCGCGCCCTGCCTTTTAGGATACGCCTACGAGGCCAAACGTTTGGGCAAAGTTTGGCCACGCTATTGGACGATGCGTTTCCCAGCCGTTGTGGAAACCCTTCGGGGAATACGTGGCTGATGAAGATGAGAACGAGGAGGAGAGGGAGGAAACATGAGAAAAAGGAGAGAGGCAGGAGGAGGCCTTTGGGGAGCTTCTGGGGCCATTCTTGGGGCCCCATGGGAGCTTCCTGGTAGCCTTTTGGAGGTCCTTGGGGGCCTCCTTGGGGTTTGGGGGGGCCTTCGGGGGCTTCTTGGTGACCTATTTGGTTGTCTTTGCGCAGACAACGGCGAGCGGGCAGAGTGCCGCAGAAGTTGTCGCAAGCTCAGAGGAGAGCCTAGCCAGGGACACCTTCGCAGCATAATCACAGGGTTATGCCCAGATACCTACGTACGTCTTCACAGCATGGCCATGCCAAGCTGGCCACATATGTCTCCTGCTGTTCATCCAAGCATCAAATGATATTATAGAGTTCAGGGGTTGGTGCGAATGTTCCCCGAAGCCCGCCTACGCGGTTTCGGGAAACGTCTTCCAACATGATGTAGCGTTGCTTGTTGTGGGCTGTTGAGATAACCAATATCAAACACGTAGGATTTAGCACGCCAGGCACACCTGTGGCAAGCCAACTGGGGACGCCGGATCGAAGACGCCTACGGCGAATCACCGCCGCCCCCTGCCTTTTTGGAAGCGCCTATGTGGCCGAAGGTTGTGGCCAGAGGCCTGCCAAGCTATCGGACCACGTGTTCCCCGAATCGGTTTGGAAAGCCTTCGGGGAACACGTGGGCATCTTGAAGGTCATCTTGGCGGTCTGGAGGTCATTCTGACCCTTTCGGGCCTTCTTGGAGGACGTCGTGGAGGGCTCTTGGGCCGTCTTGGAGGCTATCTTGAGCGTCTTGGAGACCTCTTGGGCCTTCTTGGGGGCCTCTTGGGGCAGTGTCTTGGGCCTCTTGGGCGATCTTTGTGGGCACTTGGGCCGTCTCGGGCCGTCGGAAGGCAGAAAAAAAACAAATGCCACAATCCTTCAAACGCCCATGGGCAATCATTGTTTTTTGCCTTTTCGGGCCTTCCTGGGGGCCCGCTTGGAGGCCTCTTGGGCCGTCTTGGGCCATCTTAGGGCCATGTTCGGCCGTCTTGGTGGGCTCCTGGTCCGTCTGACGCCGTCGGAGGCCGTTTGGGGGGCCTCTGTGGGCCGACTTGGGGCCTTCTTGGAATGCTCCAGGGCCGTCTTGGATGCCATCTTGGGGGCCTCTTGGGGCCGTCTTGGGGCCCTCTTGGGCCGTTCTGGGGCCATCTTGGAGGCCTCTTGGGCGATCTTTGGGGGCTCTTGGGCCGTCTCGGGCCGTCGGAAGGCCAAAAAGAAGCAAATGTCAAAATTCGTCAACTACCTTAGGAACATCCATGTTTTTGGCCTCTTCTGGTTCCTGGAGGCCTTCTTTGGGGCCGTCTTGGGCCAGCTTTGAGCCAACTTCGGCCATCTTGGTGGGTTCCTGGCACGTCTGACGCCGTCGGGAGCCGTCTTGGGGCCTTTCTGGGCCGACTTGGGGCCCTCTTGGGGCGCTTCGGGGCAGTCTTGGAGGCCATCTTGGGCGTCTTGGAGGCCATCTTAGGCGTGTTGGAGGCCTCTTGGGCCGTCTTGGGGCCCCTCTTGGGGCCTTCTTGGAGGCCACTTGGGCCGTCATGGAGCCCTCTTGGGGGCCTCTTCGGCGATCTTGGGGGCCTCTTGGGCCGTCTTGAGCCGTCGGAATGCCGAGAAGAAGCAAATCCATCCTTCAAAAAACCAAGGAAAAATCAATGATTTTGGCCTCTTCGGGCCCTCCTGGAGGACCTCTTGGAGGCCTCTTGGGCCGTCTTGGAGGCCTCTGGGGGGCCTCTTGGGCCGTCTTCGGCCGTCTTGGACTCTCTTGGATCGTCTTGGGGGCCGTCTTGGACCGTCTTGGGCGGACTTGGAGGCCATCTTGGAGGCCATCTTGGGCCAGTGTGGCCATCTTGGAGGCCGTCTTTGAGCCGTCTTGAGCAGGAAATCTGGGAATTGAGCGCCTTCCGGGTGGCCGGCGGGACGGGCCGAAGCCCCAGGGGGAGTTCTTTTTGGAAAACAAAAAAACTAAAACCAAAGCCGAAAGGGTTCAGCACGCCAGGCACCCCTGTGATGAATCAACAGGAGGGGGCGGCGGATCGAAGACGCCTACGGCGAATCACCGCCGCCCCCTGCCTTTTTGGAAACGCCGATGTGGCCGAAAGTTGGACTAGAGCTTGGCCAAGCTATCGGACCATGAGTTCCCCGAGTCGGTTTGGAAAGCTTTCGGGGAACACATGGGAGAGAATGATTATGAACAGGAAGAGGAAGAGGAAGAAATAGAGTAGGAGGATGAGGGTTGTTAGGAGTCTCTTGGGGCACCCTTGGGGTCTGTTGGGAGCTTCTTGGGGGCCTCTTCGAGGCCTCTTGGAGGCATCTTGGGGGCCTCCTTGGGCCTCTTGGGGGCCTTTGGGGGCTTCCTGGGGGTCTCTTTGGCCGTCTTAGGGCGTTCCTGGTCCGTCTGACGCCGTCTGGAGCCGTCTTGGGGGCCTCTCTGGGCCGTCTTGGGGCCCTCTTGGGGCGCTTCAGGGCCGTCTTGGAGGCCATGTTGGGCGTCTTGGAGGCCTCTTGGGCCGTCTTGGGGCGCTCTTGGGGCCGTCTTGGGGGGCCCTTGGGCCGTCATAGGGCCTTCTTGGAGGCCTCTTGGGCGATCTTGGGGGCCTCTTGGGCCGTCGGAAGGCCGAAAAGATGAAAACGCAAAAAACCTTCAAAAACCTAAGGAAAACCAATGATTTTGGCCTCTTCGGGCTCTCCTGGAGAACGTCTTGGAGGCCTCGTGGGCCATCTTGGAGGCATCTTGGGGCCATCTTGGCCGTCTTGGAGGGCATCTTGGGCCGTCTTGGAGGCATCTTGGAGCCATCTTACCCGTCTTGGAGGCCATCGTGGCCGTCTTGGAGGCATCTTGGAGGCCATCTTGGGCCATCTTGGCCGTCTTGGAGGCCATCTTGGGCCAAGTTGGGGCAACAAAGGCATTGACAGACGCATTTTGGGAAATTTACGGGTGGCCGGCGGGACGGGCCGAAGCCCACTGGGGAGTTCTTTTAGAAAAAGAACCAAAACCAAAACTGAATCATCCAGCACGCCGTGCACCCCTGCAAGCAGGGGGCGGCGGATCGAAGACGCCTACGGCGAATCACCGCCGCCCCCTGCCTTTTTGGAAGCGCCTATGTGGCCGAACGTTGAGGCCAGACCTGCCAAGCTATCGGACCACGTGTTCCCCGAATCGGTTTGGAAAGCCTTCGGGGAACACGTGGGCATCTTGAAGGTCATCTTGGCCGTCTTGGAGGCCTCTTGGGCAAGCTTTGGGCGATCTTTGGGGCTTTTTGGGCCGTCTCGGGCCAGCTTCGAGCCAACTTCGGCCATCTTGGTGGGTTCCTGGCACGTCTGAAGCCGTCGGAAGCCGTTTGGGGGGCCTCTATGGGCCGACTTGGGGCCCGCTTGGAATGCTCCAGGGCCGTCTTGGAGGCCATCTTGGGCGTCTGGGAGGCCATCTTGGGCGTGTTGGAGGCCTCTTGGGCCCTCTTGGGGCCCTCTAGGGGCCATCTTGGAGGCCACTTGGGCCATCATGGGGCTCTCTTGGGGGCCTCTTGGGCGATCTTGGGGGCTTCTTGGGCCGTCTCGAGCCGTCGGAGAGCCGAAAAGGCGCAAATGCCAGAATCCTTCAAAAACCAAGGAAAAATCAATGATTTTGGCCTCTTCGGACTCTCCTGGAGGACCTCTTGGAGGCCTCTTGGGCCGTCTGGGAGGCCTCTGGGGGGCCTCTTGGGCCGTCTTGGGCCGTCTTGGACTCTCTTGGGCCGTTTTGGAGGCCGTCTTGGACCATCTCGGGCGGACTTGGAGGCCATCTTGGGCCATCTTCGCGATTTTTTGAGGATGTCCCGAGCGAAACGGCCGTTTTTTGGAGGATTTTTTTCCGGATTGAGGTCCTTTCGGCTTCCTCCCGGGACCCCGGCGGGACGGGCCGGAGCCCACTGGGGGAGTTCTTTTAGAAAAAGAACCAAAACCAAAACTTGAATCATCCAGCACGCCGTGCACCCCTGCAAGCAGGGGGCGGCGGATCTCATGGCCTTCGGCCCATCCCGCCACCGTGCTTGGGTTGCGGGTATGAAGCCTATTGGGTGTTCGTTGGGATCTCGTGGGAGGCCTCTCGGGGGCCTCTTGGAGGCATTTTTGGGACCTCTTGGAGCCTCTCTTGGACCTCTGGGGGGCCTCTGGGGGCCTCTTGGGGGGCCTCTTGGGGCATCTTGGGGCCTCCTGGGGGCCTCCTGGGGCGGAAGGCTCGGATTTTCGGTTCGTGCTCCTCTTGGGCACCTTTTGAAGCCGTCTTGGGGCCTCTCGGGCTGTCTTGGGCGCCCCCTGGGCCGTCTGGGGGTGCTCGTCGGCCGTCTTGGGGCCCTCTTGGAGGCCTCTTGGGCCGTTTTGGGGTGGTCTTTGGGTTCTCTTGGGGCGGCTTGGAGCGTCGGAAAACCGAACAGGCGCGAATGCCAACATCTTTCAAATATTCTTTTGGGGAATCAATGATTTGTGCCTCTTGCGGCCCTCTTGGGCGGCCTCTTGGAGACCTCTGTGGCCGTCTTGGAAGCTTCTTGTCCCGTCCTCGGGCCATCCTGCGCGTCTTCGAGCGGTCGTGGGGCCCTCTTTGACCATTTTGGGGGCCTCTTGGAGCCATCTGGGCCAGTTTTGGGGCCCTCCTGAGGGTTACCTGGGCTCGTTTGCAGGCCGACGCGAGCGATTCCGGCAGATCCCGGGCCGGCCCAGGGTTCACGATTGGTCAAGGCTTTTAAAGATTGACAGTTTTGGTTGCCACAGCAGCAGCAGCACAGTCCTCCCAGTGCTGCATGAACCTTGGGGCACTCCACTTCGTGCCAGAGGCATGGTGGCGGATTCGGGGGGGTCCAGCCGAATCACCCCGCCTCCCCGAGACAAGTATTCGAGGGATCCAGAACCCCCCCCCCACCCTGGCGACGACGACGACGACGACGCCGCCGCCGCTGGTAAACGACGCGAACGACACGACGGCGACGACGACGACGATGACCGACGACCGACGACCGACGACGACGACGACGACGGCGAGGACGGACGACAACCATGACGACGCCGACGCCGACGACAATGACAACGACAATGACCACGACGAATATAGCGACTACGACGGCGAAGACGACGACGACAACGACGAGGACGTTGCCGCCTGCAAACGATGACGATCTAGCCCTGTTTGGATGCGGTTAAAACCGGATCGAGCCGTAGTAGCATTCTATTTAATTATGATCAAGCTTTAGTAGGGTTGGTGTGGCAGAGCTGGACCGAGCCCCAGTATGATTCCATGACAGATGGACCGAGCCTTCTGGATCAAATTCCCATCAGGAACTCGGATTCTAACAGATTGGATCCAGCCCAAATGCGATTCTGGGCCCTACTAGGATTTTATCAGAGCTGGCTCCGTCCCCAGAAGGATCCTCTTAGAGTTGGACCCGGGCCCGGTAGGATTCTATCAGAGCTGGATCGAATCCGAATAGGATTTTGTGAGAGCTGGACAGACGCCTACAATGTTGCCTTGAGACTAGATGGCCCCCTGGCAGGATTCTATCAGAGCTGGATCGAGCCTTCGCAGGGTTCGATTAGACCCAGATCCAGCCTTATAAGAATCTCATGAGAGCCAGGTCCATCCCAAGCAGGCTTCTATTCGAGCGGGATCGATCCCTAGTGATATAGTTTTGTGCAGTGTCCCGTCAATGTGATTCACCCCTGTAGAAGTGGGACATTGTTCTTTACATACATTCAATCGGCACGCGCTGGCTTGCGCTTCACTACTTTTAGCGTGCACCTGATCTGGATCGGCAGCTGGTTGGAACGAAGATCCGTTGCATTTCTGGTAATTTCTGGGTTCCAGAATCGCACGGCGCCCCAAGGAAACAGTTTGAAGGCGCTGCTGGGGGGCCAGACAGGGAGAGGGGCATGGGTGGCAGGATATAGTTGCAGTGCACAGTCTCTTGGAACATAGTCGATGAGCGCGACGTGCCGCCCTACGGCTTGGAAAGCCCCGCAGGGCGGCCAGCGCAGTGCTGTCTGCTTGCCAGCTATTGCATCTTGATATGGGAGCAAGCAGATGGCATCAGCCCCCGCTCACGCACCCATGTTGTCACCCACCCCCTTCGCCCCTGGTGCCGATCTTCAGGACGTGCGCTAGGCCAATGCGTGCTCATTTTGCGCAGCTGCACCGATTGCGAGCAGCCTGTGTCGGCCCTGAGTGCACAGCCTGCGTCGTAGTAGAAGGGCCTCAGTGGACAAGCGCAAGTTGGCGCTGATACACCTTCGCTGATGCGGAGCTAACCTTCCCTGGCCGCTGTTGAGAACACCCTGAACTCACAATCTCAAAGGCGAAGCGGAGAACAAGTGCCGCGGTTAAGGTCGAGTGGCGCCACCAGGCAGACCGGCGGTCTTGAGACTGATGCGAGACGACCACGGGACCACCGAAAGCAGCAGACGGCAAAGCCACAGCCCAGGGGACGATCACGGCACCCCCGGGAGCACAACGCGAAGCCACAGCACGAGGCCCGTTTGCGCCAACGCACGCTCCGAGGCCAGTCGACCCTGGGCGGTCGCCCTCCCCGCGAGGTGGCCAGAGGCGAGCGCGGCGGTGTCCTGCGTGGTGGTCTCTGGAGGCGCCACGCAGCCGAAGGCCCAGGGGCGGCCGGGCCACTCGCGGGGGGTCGGCGGCGAAGTGCGAACCCGATGGCGATTCGATGGGCGTGGGGGGGTTCGGAGTTTGTCGAACACGTGGCGAAATCCGAACCCTGCCCCCGCAGCCCAACGAGTCAGGAGGACAGATGATTGGTGGGGATTGGTTTCGAATGTCGCCACCTGCAGAGGGCCATCGCAAGGCAGAGCAGGCGGCGCCGCCTACGATCCGATTCGATGCGATTCGATTCGCGAGTTGGGCCCGCGATTCCGATCCGATTCGGTTCGGCTCTGTATTCACCTGCATCGGCCGGAGCGGATCAGGGCGAGTCATTGGTGATCCTATTCGTTTCCGATCCGATCAAACGGTTCGATCCAGCTCAGACTTGGCAGGGAAACATCCCCAGGTTCGAGGATCGAGGTCTTTCATCGGTTTCGGCCTCCAGGAGCCCGCGTCGGGCCGTGGTGGCCGTCGGGAATCGACCTGGGGTGAGGGACCGGCCAAGGCGGGTCCAAGGAGTGAGTGGCGAACCGACAATGGTGCCGACATTCGCGCGTAAGTTGCCCAGGTTAAAAGGCGCGTGAGCGCCCTCGCGCCCAAGGGACGAGGCCAGACCGTTCGGCCCCCCCCTTCTCCGACATTGCCCACGAGACGCTCCGCACATGAGCCACGGAAGAGTTGGGAGTCGAGTGCGTGGACATTTCGTGCGTAAGCGTCCTGCGCAAGGTCGCGCGCAAGCGCCCTCATTTCCCATGCAGCGTGCGGCGCTGGCGGCCCACGCAAGCCACCGTGTGAGGCCAGTTTGTCATATCGCGTCAGATCTGTTTGTTTTCGTTGCAGGTGTCGTCAGAGGTGCCGATCTTCTGTGGGTTTCAGCAGGACCGCTCGGGACCACCCTTTCTGACCCGCGAGATGCTCTTCCCACCGGTGTTCAGAGGCCGCCTGGCTGCATTCGCAGTAGGCCTCGGCGGCTGTGGGCCTGCCCGGCAAGGCGCGAATGTTATTATGTTTTGGCGATTTCATGGACCGGTTTCGTTCTGATTTCGTTTGGCGGGTGAACCAAGCGATGACAAAACGAGGGCAACCGAATACGACACGAAAATGGAAACAGTTCTTGGCTCGCTCCCCGCTGCCTGGTGGGCCTCCCCGCGGGCTTCGGCCGAAGGCTGACGGCAGGCTCGTCATGGATCCCGCGGCCGGGAACAACGCGTCCGACCTCAGGGCCGCCAAAGAGGTCTACAACAGGCTCCAGGCCACCCTCGGCGACCCCGGGGACAGAGGTTCGAGGTTCTCCTTGAGTTTCGGTCTCTGGGGGCCTGTCGGGCCCCAGGACCGTCGGACATCTATATGGGACGAACAACTCACCGAGATGGGCGTGCCCTTGCAGGGAGCTGGAAGACGTTTGGACGAATTTGAATTGTTGCTTTTCTCCAGATTCAAAGTGCGGCTTTGGTTCCCCATCTCCTAATTGAGGTTTTTGTTTTCCCCCACCCGCGTCGCACCCTCGTCTCCAACCTTACCCCTCCTCCTCATCCTCCTCCTCCTCTTCTTTTTCTTGTTCATTTTTCGCGAGTGCACTCAGCAGACACGTGCACACATGCATCATACACACGCGCGCACGCACATCGCACATCGCACATCATATCTACACGCACTCGAACGGACCGCGCACACGCAGTACAACTCTAGTACACACCTGGCGTGTTCATTGCATCAGACACACCATACGTATGAAAACACAGACGCGGCACCCACATGATACACACGTCCACACACAGCCGCACACGTTACACATACGCAGAGCACACCAACGCGGACTCAGTCATTCGCGTGACACATGATATGAACATCCACATGCAGCCGTACACACATCATACATCTACACAGGACGCGCATACGCAGACCTAGTCACTGACGTGACTCGCGCACCACACAACACAGACGCGTATGACTTGCAGGACGTGGCATGCGTGGCACTAACTCGACACCACACGGGGTGCGCGGGGGGTGGTCCCTCACCGCGGTGTCTATCAATCTCAGGGTCGCAGGGCGTGGCAGGCGTGGCATTTCCTCCACGCCACGGGGGTTGCGGGGCGTGGTCCCAAACAGCGTTTTCTATCCGTTTCAGGGTCGTGCGGAATGGCAGTCGTGGTTATTTCTCCACACCACAGCGGGAGCGCAGCGGGTGGTACCTCACTTTTTTGTATCTGTTTCACGGTCGCGGGTCGTGGCAGGCGTGGTTCTTTCTCCACGCTTCAGGGGATGCGAAGGGAGTGGTATCTTACTGCGGTTTCTAGCCGTCTCAGGGTCGTTGGGCGTGGCAGGCGTGGCTCTTCCTCCGCACCACAACTGGTGCGCAGGGGGGGGTCTCTTACCGCGGTCCCTGTCCGTTTCAGAGTCGCGTGGCGGCGCATGCGTGGCCTGTCCTCCACGCCACAAACGGTGCGCAGGGGGGGGTCTCCCACCGCGGCTTTTATCCGTCTCAGGATCGCGGGGCGCGGCAGGCGCGGCTCGTCCTCCACGCCGCAGCGAGTGCGAAAGGATCCGTTTCACGGTCGCGGGGCGCGGCAAGCGTGGCAACTTCTCCACGCCACATATGGGTGCCAAGGGGATAATCCTTCGCCGCGGTTTCCATATGCCTCAGGGTCGCGGGGCGCGGCAGGCGCGGCCCTCCCTCCACGCGCTGCAGGTGCTGCGCAGGGGGCGGTCCTGAACCGCGGTCTCTACCCGTTTCATGGTCGCGGGGCGCGGCAGGCGCGGATTGTTTTCGCGCCAGAGGTCGTCGGGGCCCCTAGGCCTTGCGCGTCGCATTCCATCTCCTGCATTGGCGGGGGTTTGCGCGGCGTCCAGATCTACCGACACCTTGGCTCCGGCTGGCTCTGTGCGCCATGGTTTTTCACGCGGGCGCGGTAAGGTCCCCAATCGGAGGCCGCAGTTGGTTGTCACGCGTGCGCGCCAGTCACGCCGCCAAAACTTGCCATGGTCGATCTGCTACATCGATGCTCGACGCTAAGGAACGCACTGGTTCAGATGGGCGGCGAGGTAAGTCTGGCAGGCCTGCGCAGCATCTCTGACGCGACGGCGCTAAACGCGCCTCACGCATATCGCCGCCTGCTCGCGAATTTTTGGCCCCAGACGCACGCCTCGCATGCCGCTGCTCCCTGGGCCTGCGGCGACGGACCACCGCCGGGCGCGGGGGCCTTTGTCGCGCGGCCCGCGAGAGCCCATGATCATCGAGGGCGCGTTCCCCCATGCGGATTGCGCGAGGAATTCGCAGCCGAGCGAGCTGGCGATCCAGAGTGACGGCCGCGCGCGCTCCAGGAGAGATCGACCGCCCGCGCTATCCGCCCGCCACTGCGCGGACGCAGGTGGGCAAGTTTCGCTGGCCGACGCCAGGCGCGGCCGACGCTCTCATCAAGTCTTTCTGAATCCAGGAACAGCAGGCGCGCGGGCCCCTCTGCCCCCCGCCGCTGGCGGCGAATTTTGAGTGGCGCGACGCCGGCGGAGAGCGCCAGGCTCGCGCGATGGGACGCGCGATCGCGCACGAGTCCCTGGCCACGACTATCTTCAATAAGGGCGACGCTTCCAACAGCGAAAACTACCGCCCGATCTGTTTGCTGCAAGCCGGCTATAAGCTCTTCGCCAATGTCCCTTTGGAGCGGCTGAAGCAGGCAGGCGCCGAGGAACGCATCTGGCGCGCGCAGTTCGGGCTCAAGTACGAAAGCGGCGCTGCTGACGCCGTCTCCCTGGCGCGGCGGCGCCTGGGGGAGGTCTGGGGGACGGCAGACGGGCAGCTCGTGCTCCTCGCGCTCGACTGGGCGACAGCGTCCGACAGCGTCATGCCCGACGCATTGATCGCCGCTGTAAAGCGCTTCGGACTCCAGCGGGCGTTGAGCATCGCGAGTTCAATCCACACTGAAAGAGTGTTTGCTGTGAGAGACGCGGGGCGGACATCTCCCCAGCAGACGCAAAAGGCAGGCATCTGCCAAGGCTGCCCGCTTTCACCGCTCCTGCTTGCCATGATCATGACAGTCCTCCTGAGCGGCGCCAGACGGAGCCTGGGAGATGCCGACGGCGAGGTCAGTGATCTCTTCTACGCGGGCGACACGCCGATTGTCGGCGCATCTGGCTCGCAGTCGGAGCCCCGCATGAGTGCGATCGAGTCTGCCGTGCCCAACTGCGGCCTCGTCTTCAATTGGAACAAGTTGGAGATGCTCGCCGCGAGGTGCGAGGCTGGCATTTGTAAGCCGGACGGCGGTCTCATCCCTTGCAACGAGCACCTCGTCTATTTGGGCAGCGTGTTTTCGGAAGATGGGCCACTTGGGCCGGAGCGCAGCCGCGAGCGAGGCGGGAGCGCGAGGGCGGGATTTGACGCGCTGTCGCGAGCGCGGTCCCGCCCCGCAGTGTCGACCCAGAGGAAGCCGATGATATCCGAGGCGCGTGTGCAAACGAAACTGCTTTACAGTTTACACACCACTTGGCTGAAGAAGCAGGAGGTGGCTAGAGTGGACGCCTTCCAGGCGAGGTGACTGCGATGTGTTCTCGGCACCGGGCGCCCGTAATGGAGCAAGGTCACAAACGCCAGCGTGCTGCAACTCGCCGGGCGCGTGAACCTGAACTTTGTCGCGTTGCAGAGACATTTTTTCGTTTGGGCAGATCGCGAGGCATGCCGGAAGACACCCTCTCCGGGAGGCTATCTTTGTACCTCCCTTCCCCTCCATCCCGCCTCTTCCCCCCCCCCATCCCTTCACTCTCCTTGCTTTCTAAAAAGGGCGCTTGGTGGTAGTGGGACAAGAGGCTGGCCCAGGCAGGCGTGGGCTGGAGAAGTCGGCAGACACGCAGCCGCCGTCTGCGACGCCTGCTTCGATGATACCACGTTCATCCCAGCTAACAGCTGGAAGACAGCTGTGCGGAGATTCTGCGCACCACGGCAACTCGTCTTAACTGCCCATGCGCTTGTCGCGCGGCTTCGCAAAAATTATCCCGGCAAAGCAACCTAGCAGCGATGTGTAGAAGCATATTTGGAAGCATTCCCCTTAAGATGCAAGGCGAGAACCCAGTTGTATAATTCTGCTCGGGAATGGAGTTCTGGGAACTCGACGAACACGAAGTGGCCTATAGTTGGATGTGGGTAACTACTACTACTACTACTACTACTACTACTACTACTACTACTACTACTACTATTACTACTACTACTACTACTACTACTACTACTACTACTACTACTACTACTACTACTACTACTACTACTACTACTACTACTACTACTACTACTACTACTACTACTACTACTACTACTACTACTACTACTACTACTACTACTACTACTACTACTACTACTACTACTACTACTACTACTACTACTACTACTACTACTACTACTACTACTACTACTACTACTACTACTACTCTACTCTACTACTACTACTACTACTACTACTACTACTACTACTACTACTACTACTACTACTACTACTACTACTACTACTACTACTACTACTACTACTACTACTACTACTACTACTACGACTACTACTACTACTACTACTACTACTACTACTACTACTACTACTACTACTACTACTACTACTACTACTACTACTACTACTACTACTACTACTACTACTAGAATTCCCCAAGGGGGTCGTCGGAGACGCCAAAGGCGTTGAAGTCCGAGGAGGAGAGGAGAAGGAAAGGACGGAGAGGGAGGGTTCGGAGGCCCCTGGAGGAGGGGATGTGCCCATCCGAGGGAACGGTGCACCCCCCCCCTCCCCGTCGTGAAAACGAGGCCCAATCCGTGGCAACGACCCCCCCCTTATCCCCCTCCCGCGACCTGAGTAGACCACCCAAGCCAGCGGGGAACGTCATAGGGGACGGGGGTTCTGACGTCGATGAAAGAAGAAGGAGGAGAGCGGGAGGCGAGGAACAGGCAGACGAAAGCCCTTTTAGGCTTTACCCGGCGTGTGGGCATGCCCTTTTTGGCTGTTGCGGGGGCAAGCGCGCGCGGTCGCCCGCAGGCGACAGGGCGCCCTGGCCCTCTTCGTGAGCGCGCAGGCGCGTGGCGTACTTCATGCGCATGATTGCCCGCTGAAGCGCCCCGCGGCACGACAGCGACGGTAAAAGGACACATTCGGTGACGCTGGAGCCCCTAATGCGACGAGGAAGCTACAGATGCATCTTCTGTGACACTGGAGCTCCACAGGACAAGTCAGCTCAGCCTGCCTCAGCCTCAGCCTGCATCAGCCTCAGTCTCAGCCTCAGCCTGCGTCAGTCTCAGCCTGCTGCGCTCCCGCATGCCCCTTCGGCCTCAGCCTGCCGCAGCCTCAGCCTGCATCAGCCTCAGCCTCAGCCTCAGCCTCAGCCTGCCTCAGCCTCAGCCTGCTGCGCTCCCGCATACTCTTGCGGCCTCAGCCTGCGTCAGCCTCAGCCTGCATCAGCCTCAGCCTCAGCCTCAGCCTGCCTCAGCCTCAGCCGCACCTCCGACGGCGCCGAGGTGGCTCCCGTGCGTGCCTGCGCCCACGGAACTCACCTCCGATGGCGCCGAGGTGGCTCCCGTGCGCACCTGCGCGCACGGAACGCTTCTCCGATGGCGCCGAGGTGGCTCCCGCGCGCACCTGCGCGCACGGAACTCACCTCCGATGGCGCCGAGGTGGCCCCCGCGCGTACCTGCACGCGCGGAACGCACCTCCGATGGCGCCGGGGTGGTTCCCGTGCGTGCCTGCACGCGCGGAACGCACCTCCGATGGCGCCGAGGTGGTTCCCGTGCGTACCTGCACGCACGGAAGGAGCTCCGCCAGATTCTTTCGGTGTCTGCCGGCTTCCGCCCGGACCCCTTCTGGAGTGTTATGATGCTCTCTTTCGACCCTACTAGAAACCTATCAGCACAAACTGTTCGGTAGAAGCAACGTATACATGTATCTATGTATGCAGTTATGTATGTATGGATGGATGTATGTACGTATGTACTGATGTATGTATGTATGAGGGTGGGTGTGCGTGTCGGAGTTATGCATACATGCGTTGCGAAACGCAAAGTTCTGCAAACTTTCGCATGAACGGTGTTTACGACAACAACACTAGTCAATATACAAAATGTGCAACAGAGCAACCAGTGTAGCAGCCCAGCCGAGGACCTCACAACCTTGCGGCCCCAACGGGGTCGCCGGATTCATGGCGATTGTTGTTTGCGGTTGTTCATGTCGCGTCGACGTGGCGGTGACCCCGGCGCGGGCGTTCAAGGTTGAGTGTCGCCAGCGGCCTGGAATCGGCCGGCAGAAAGCTGCAATTGTTCAAAGCGATCAGCGCGGCGTCAACAATCGACGGACAAGTCGTCACGACGTATGTATGCCGCAGAGCATTTTCATAGGACGCCCGTATGTGTCCGCACCCATCATTGCTCTATTTTTGTTTCATGCCCTGCTTCGGAGACCGAGGCGAGCGAGAGGCCGCCGTTCTACGTGGTCAGCAGGCACGCCGCCGGGCAATGCCAGCTTCAGCGCCTTGCGTTTCACGGCTCGCTCCACCCCGTGGCTCAGCGCTTCCAGCACGTCAGCAAAGACATTGTGCAATCCATTTGGGCGCGGGTGAACAGGTCGATGGCCGAGCGGAAACGAGTGCGAGACAGTCTGCCAGCCCGTTGCAATGTGCACTGGTTTCGTGAGCATTTTCTGTCAAAGGACGCTCCGAAGGACCTGAAGGCCACCGACCCGGTTTGGGAGTGGGCAAAGAACCTCCGGGAGACTTGCAGTGATGGGCTCGCGACTGTTGTGGCGACGTTGGCGGACAAACCTGCCTTGATGGTTGATTTTTTTACGCCGCAGAAGAGTTCAGACTGCAACTTGTTCTTACTCGGCCTCGATTCCACCAACCACGGCATCAATAACCCCATGGCGCTCAGCAAGTTGATTCACGAGTTGATGATCGTGTCCGTGGGCAGTGGCAACGGTGAGTGGTTCCGACTGGTGACGGACGTGGGCAAAGTGCAAGAGCCGGTCGACGCGATCATCATCGGCGATTATGGCAAGGATTTGGGCGCCCGAAATGGGTACGGAAAGGATGGGTACAATGCCCAACAGCAGTTCCTTTTCATTTTGAACATGATTCGCTGTCCACGCGGCCGCGGTCTGTGTCCATTCGAGACAGAAGGCCGCCTGCTCAACAGCGGCCGCTGTTGGTTTGGGACAACGTTTGTTGTTGGGCATTGTATCCATTTTTTCCGTACCGGTTTCGGGCGTCCAAAAAGGACCTCGACGACGAGAAGGCGCTGTGCGTGGCGTCCGTCCTGCGCGGGCTGGGGCTGATAGGCAGCCTGGCGGTCGTGGCCAACCTGGGAGACTCCACGACGCGCGCACGCCTCGCCAAGGGGTCGCTGCTGACCCTGAACCAGACCGACGTGCCCGTGGCGGCCGGCTCGCACGGGGGGCGCGACGACGAGGAGCTGTACGAGCACGAGTTCGCGCACTGCGACTATGCGGCCGCGCTGCCGCGGGCGTCCGCTTCCCGCGCTCGCCCCATGGGCCGCCGCGCGCGGCCGGGCTGGCGTGCAGGGGTGGGGGCGCACAGCTGCTCCAGAGCGTTCCGCAACGCTCTCAGAGCGTTCTGCTGCAAAGGCTCTCGGAGCTCCGCGGGCGACCGGTGTGCACCGTGCCTCGTTGGCGTCTCCCGAGGCGTCGCCGATCCTTGGCCCAGAAACCGTACAGTGCATCGTTTTGCGGCCCTCGGAGCCTAAACACTGTGCACCGTACCGCGTCGGAGTGGGGCCCGAAGGGGGTCCAGGGCGCAGCCTTGAAAACTGGTGCGGTCGGGCCCCAGGAGTGGTCCGCCGATTTGGAGCTGCCGCTGTCTCAGCTCGCCCTCTTCTCCGAACATCCTCCAAATCCGCCCTCTTCTCCGAGCATCCTCAGAGGTTCCAGGTTTATCGTACTCTGGCAATCCGATGCTATCCGCATCATGGCTAAACGGACACGTGTATATACAGGCACGCGACAGCGTCCCAGAGTCTACGCTGGACGCTTGAATGCGTTCGGTTGTGCTGCAGGGGATGCGTGTGCGTACTTACGTCTTTTCTTGCTGGGGCCTACTTTAGGCAGTGAGCCCGGGCTCGATGCACGTGTGCCGTACGAAGGAAGGACCGATCTAACAAAGTAGAAGGCCCGACACACGCAGCACACGACACGTTTCTCTGGCGTCGCTGTGATATCGCAGTCGCGATATAAGATGCACGTGAACCGATCCTATGATTTATATTATGTGTGTGCGCGATGGAGCACCGAATTACGTTGAGGACGGTGTTTGGAAGGGGCAGACCAGACCGAACAGCGGGCTTGCAGCGAGCAGTACCACACCCACATATTATAATGTTTGACCGATGCGGTGGTGACGTGCAATTTCCAGCACAGCAAAGGCGGGCCTCGGTTTGAGTAGTCGGCCACCCTGTGTGGCACAGTGTGCAGAGCTGAAGATCCTGGGGGTCCAGCACTGGCCGATTTTACGTTCAGAGACAGGCGCAGCAGAAAAACGCACACACACGCACACACGCACGCACGCACGCACGCACGCACGCACGCACGCACGCACGCACACACACACACACACACACACACACACACACACACACACACACACACGCACGCACGCACGCACGCACGCACGCACGCACACACACACGCACACACACACACACGCACGCACATGCACATACACATAACCACACACACACACGCGCGCACGACACGCACACGCACGCACGCACGCACGCACGCACACACAAAGACACAGACTCACACACACACACACACACACACACTTGCACACACTTACACACACACGCACATACACATAACCACACACACGCATTTGTCATCCAGGGTGCCGATTGGGGACAATCGACGGCCCACGAAGTATAAAAGTGTGAGTCGCTCAATTTAGCGTGACCACCTTGTGAGGGAGCGTCAGCACACATACACAAACCGCCCGAAGCGCGGTAGCAGATTTAGCGCCAGTTGATACTCTGGACAAGAGGGGTGGCCACGAATTGATATTCGCGTCGCTGGGTGAGACATTGAAGAAGGGGAGGAAGGCGTGCATCATTCTTGGCAGCGCGTTTACCGACATGGCCAAGGTTTTGGACGACCCACGCTGGAAAGAAGTCAAGAAGGTGGTGGCATGTGTATCAGCCATGGGCGGTGCAAAGTGGGAAGGGGACAGGTTCGAGATCGACAAATCTGCCGCCAATCACGTGTTCGATTTGCCGGCCGCCGAACGGGTGTACTCTGCACTCCAGCAGGAGATTGACATGCACTTTGTCGTACTCAGTCGGTTTGCTGCTGGGTGCTGCCAGATGCCTCGTGGCGCCCTCGACGGGTCGGACCACCCCATGGCCCTTCGCTTCAAGCGGGTTTCGGAGCCTGGATTGCAGAAGCTGTGGGAGCGATCACACCGCAGCCTCGAGGACTGGCCCCCACCCCCTCTGTCTGCCTTGGCCTGGGGATGACGGCGGATGAGGGGGTGAGGGATGAGGACGGCGAAGAGAATTTTGTTTGACATCCACAGCCCAAGACCCCTCGGAGGGGCTGAGTGCTCGTCCTTCCACGGCGCCTCAGTCAGGAAGAGCGTGATGAACAGCACGACCTTCACGGACACGCAGAATACGTACGTAGCGGAGCGAGGCACCCCAGCGACGAACGAGAACCCAACACGCATAAACGTTGAAATTTCAAGGAGGCCGCGGCAGTTAAGATGAATTTCGAAGTGCCGAACGCACAGACCAAATGCGATCCTTGATCTCGTCGGCCAGCGGTGCGAGATACACACGAACGAACCGCATCAGGAAGCCCATGCCCCGTACTAGAAAATATGATATTGCCACAAAAGACGCAGAGAGCCGTGAGCCCGTCACCAGATTTTGCAGACAGATCCAACCATCCCAGAATAAAACAAATCCAGCACCATTAGAAGCCGACGCCGTTGAGGTCGAGCTCGCCCAAAGGGTTCATATCACCGGAATCTTCGACGACGAGCTGAAGAAGCAGAAGCCCAGCGCGCGATCCAGCAGTAGTGGGGCAAGCCATACTGGAGGCACATGCGCTGCACAGGAGTCCTTCCCAGGATCCAGCGGGCCCAAACCAGCGGGCGCTCGCGCGAGTGGTAGCAGCGGGCCAGCGGCAGGAGTTTCGCCTGCAGCATGGTGGCCCCTGGCAGCAGCAGCAGCAGTAGAAACGTCCTCGTCGCCCTCCGCGTCGGCCGATCGGGAAACCGCAACAGCAGCTGCCGCCTTCTCACCCTGAGGGCCGTCCTCTTCGGGGGGTGGGGGGGGACACCCCGCCTGAGGGGAACCAGGCGCCAGAGGCGCCTCCACCCTCCAGCACCATCTCCATGTCCTTGGCAACGGGAATCGGTGCCGCGACGCCCACCATGACAGAACGAGCTCCTTGACAGGAGCAGCAGGCAAGCCAGGAATGCGGTCGGCACAAGGGGGCTCAGGCAGAGGAACACGAGCGGGTACCAGGCAGCATCCAGGAGTCAACACGACGAGGGCACACTGCCGAGTGATGAGGGCTTGAGCCAAAACGGGCTACGGAGGATGACGAAGAGAAGGCAGAATATGGGGGAGAGAAGGGAGGTGGCAGAGGGATGAGGCTGGGGTTTGGACGGGATGCGCGGAGGACATGTGGTGGAGGGGGGGGGCGAAGGAGGAGAATGAGGAGGACAGAGCAGGGAGGAGGATGGCGGAGGAGAAGGTGGAACGGAGAGGAGAAGGGAAGAAGGGAACGAATGGAAGCATCGAAGGAAGATGCGGAACAGGAAGAGGAGTGAACACAGGAGGATGAGGAGGGACGATGACGAGGACTGGGAGCAGGAGGAGCAGGAGGGGGACTATTGGGTTGCTGCTGCTGCTGCAAGCCAGGTGTCGAAGCACACGGGCAGTGATGCAGCACCCCGGGCAGTAGTGCCACACGGCGGCTTCCAGACTGTTGCTGGAATTGCCGCGAATTGTCGAGCATCATACGCACGGTGGTCGCAAATTCTCTTCACACAACTCACTCGACCATGACAGTTTCGGCCTGCCCCAGTGTCGTCTGCCGGCCCGCGAACGCAGTTCCGAAGAAGATGGCTGGAAGACCGCGCGCCGCACTGGATGGTCGTCTGGGTGTCGGGCGATCTGCGCAAACATATATGAGTGACGGCACACCAGGATGCGACTCAAGGGCAATTTGCGGGCCCAGTCCAGAATTACAGCGTTCGAAATACGACTAATGTATGGATGCGGTATCCCGAATACCTTCCTCAAACACCACACGTGGAAACTGCCGAGTTTGGTCAGTTCGTGTTTCCGGATCCACGCCGCATGCAATCCGTAAAGCAACCTTGTCTGCACGCAGGCTTCGAAGATCTGAAATTTCCGTTGTGTGGGCAGGGTGGGATGAGACCATACCCGGGCAAGGGTGTCGAACCCAGCCCTGGCAGAACCTCATCGCCTGCTCAGCTCAGAAGCAATGGATCTATCGGCCGCCAAGACACTCCAAATATACCATGGAGTCCTTTTCGGGGATCTGGGCGCCGCCCAGACCCGCCACGTTCCCCTGGCACTGGATTGACAGCAACTCGAGCCATCTCCAATTGAATTTGAGGCCGTAGCTCGCGTCAGCGTCAGCTATAGCCGTCATGTACGCCTGCGCGCGCTCCGTGCAGGTGGCCACGATGAGCGTGTCATCGGCGTACTTTGGCTCCTCCGTGTCTCCCATGCGGTCGCCCAGCATGTCCTGGGCGTCGCGCAGCAGCATGGTCATCACCATATATCGAAGAGGAAAGGAGAGATAGGACAACATTTACACATTCCCGCGTGGCGCTCGCGAGTCCCAGACGTCACGCTGGCCACGCGAATTGCGGAGTTTTTGCCCGTGTAGGTGGCTTGAATCATTGTCAATATCTTCTCTGTGACTCCGAAGCGCTGCAATACTTTCAGCAGAGGCTCCGTCATGACGCTATCGAACGCCTCGGCCCAGTTCCGAGCGAGAAGCACGAGCCAGCCCTCTGCGCTCGACCACGTTTCCTCCAGCGTTCGACTGGCGAGGAAGATGGTGTCCGTGGTGCCGTGGCCCGATTTGAAGCTAAACTGGGTGACTCAGATTCGGCCCTCGTCTCCGGCGTCCTTCAGGCGGCGGAGGAGGAGAGTCGCAAACATTTTGTACCCAGTCTGGAGCAGGCACACTGGCCTGCCGTTGCCGCAGAGCGTGGCACATCCCTTCTTGAATAAAGCAATCACTAAGGAATTGCGCCACGATTCTGGAACGCTGCCCTGGTCCCAACATCGCCGGCACACTGCTAGTGCCCATGCTTTCGCCTGGGAGTCGCGAGCACAGACCGCTTTCCAAGAGTCGCCGGGGATGCCGTCACTGCCGCGCGCCTTGCCCCGCTTCATGCGCTTGGCTGCCTCGGTCCCCCCCCCAGTCCCCAATCCTCGATCTGCCCCAATTTGACCGGCAGATCGGGGCCAAGGGACGTTGTGAGCATCGGCGTGGTTTCGCGCGCGGCCTATTGCACCTCCGTCGGGAAGCAGCGTGTCCGCGCGGGCCTCGGAGTCAATCAGGTCGCCGCGAAGGTCGCGAAAGCGTCGCACTTGGTCCCAACCGCCCGTCGCTAGGAGGCTTTCCAACCACTCCGCCCTGTTCGTTTTCACAGAGCTATAGTCACGACGTAGGTCAGGCGCCACTCTTCTGCCAGGTTGCCGCGTGCTCTGTCCTCGGTGCGATCCTCTGTGAGCGCCATGACGCGGCTCGAAATCCACGGCTTCCGCGGCGCTGGCGGCGCTATTGGTAGTGCGGCGGCTACCTTTTTGAAGGAAGTCACGGCTGCAGCGTCGATGTCGCCGGCACCGGCGTCGCTTGGACCCGCGGCCTCCGCTTCGCTGGCAGAGGCCACGGCGAAACGGTTGGCATGTCTCGGGCGCGCGCAGCACCAGCATGAATTTGGCATGGAAACTGCACGGTGGATTTGTTGGAAAAATCCCGCTGGCATTCCGCACCTTACGCGTTGTTCTACATGCTGGCGTACTTTGACGCGACGAGGCTGCCATCGTTTTCTCTGCGGGCTTCCAAGCATGTTGGGCGCGTCGTTGTCTTTGCTGCGGCGCACGATGCCTCTTGCTTCTCTCCACGGGGCGTTGTCTGTTCCTCCTCCGTCGGCCTGGCTGGCCCCGTCTTCGCAATCTCGCGCTCGCGGCCCGCGTGACTGCGCCGCCAGACGTGGCGACCTCGAGCGCTCGCCGGGTTACTCTGCGCCGCAGCCACGTACTTCGCGCTTGAAAGCGGGGGCCCAGCTCGGAGCGCGTTTCTGTATTTGTTTGGGCATGACGGGCGTCATGGACTCTGGCACCCCCCTTTATGACGTAACGCTCCCACCCCCCCGTGCGTTCAGGACATTGCCGCCGTGCGCATCGTGATCCGCATAAGTGTCCGCACAGTCCGCATAGGGGACTGGTCCGCAGTCGTCGCCGTAGTCGTCGTCGTCATCGTCGTCGTCGTCGTCGTTGTTGTCGTTGTCGCTCGTCGCTCGTCGCTCATCGTCGTCGCGCGCGGACACAGCTGGAGCCTGCTTTTTTTTCGGGCCAATGACGGCAATCATCTGGGGGGGAGGGGGCCTATGACGTCACGTCTCGCGCCGGCGGCGTCTGGGAATGCCCAGGGATGGCCGGGGACGGGTAGTAGCAGCATATCGGTGGCGATTTGCACCACAACGCCTGTGCACACCAGAGTGTCAGCGTGCACCACAGCGCCTGTGTACACCACGCCGCCCATGTATATCACAGCAACCGCGTGCAACACAGCGCCAGTGTGTGCCACAGTGCCTTCTGGCACCACGGCGCTCGTTTGCACCACAGCACCTACGTACACCACATCAGCCGTGTGCAACACAGCACCAGTGTACACCACAATCCCTGCGTGCAGTACGGCGCCTGTGTACACCACGGCGCCTGTGTGCACCACAGCAACCGTGCGCAAAAACAACCACTTGTTGTATATAGAATTGTAAAATGAATCTTCATAACAAGATGGAGCGCCTGTGGATACAACAGAAAACACATGTTTTATATAGGACTTGGAAACGAGTCATTATGGAAAAATGGAGCGCCGCCAGAATTTAGGAGTCCTCCGGAGTCCGCCCGCATCATCCACATTCTTCCCATTTGCGCCCAGGAGGCTCCAGCCAAATTGGCCGTCCGAGAACCAAGTGGGCTGATTCAATAGTTCATTGTGCGGTGCACGCTGAGATGCGCACGTGCGTTGTAGAGCCGACCAGCACGACAGGGGGGAAAGGTTAGGGAGGAGGAGGAGGAGGAGGAGGAGGACGATGATGATGATGAGGAGGAGGAGGAGGAGGAGGCGGAGGCGGAAGTGGAGGAGTGGGGAGTGAAAGACGTCGCATTCTATTATCAGCACATCCCTGGCGCGG